TGTGTCCACCGGCGGCTTTTTACAAAGCCCACACAGCATAAAGACGGACTCTTCTTCTTGATCATCGGCGTTACCAGTAGCACTTCCTTCGCTCATTTTGATACCAAAGGAATCGCCTTAATTGTCGCGCAAATGGCCCACCAACTATCACCAAATCGTCCGTGCCCTACTCAAAATGGCGGGATAATGAACATGGCTTCCGCGCTTCCATTGACAAGAAATCACCCTGTGACGTCACCGGAGTAGCATTTCGCATTTATGAATATTTCAAAACAAGTTTAATTCCTTTGTTGTTAGCTCAGATTCGCTCGTTTCGATTTGAGTTTGTATCTTGACTAAATAAAACTTACCAGGTACTTTCCCTGAGCGCCGAACAACAGTTTTTGAGAGTTAAAAAAGATACGACTAAGGACAATTTGGCATAGGTCTAGACGGGGCACGAACTCGAAAATACACGCGAAACAAGCAAAGACAGACACTAACACAATGCAAATCTAATTGATCATGCATTCCACCGACACTTCCGACAAGTTATTGTCAAGTCCAATCGAGTGGATGACTGGAGGGTCAAAACCTTACTTGGTAAACAAAAAATACAGAACTTGTTTCCGCCTATTACGGCAGGACACCCCACACCACCGTTCCTCACGCACATATATACACACCCCCACCAGGAAAAGAGTTAATATCTTTTGTTTATTTTCTAATGCAATCTTTGAACGTCCGCTTATTGTTCAAACACAACTGCAACAACACAGAAATTTGGGGATGTATGTTTTGATCGTCAGCCCTTGCAAGCTCTTTTCCAATCCAGCCGTTTCTCCTAAATTTGGCACCTACATATTGAATTTCAGCATAGTGGTTCAGAACGGATCAGGAAAGATCGTATCCTCCCTGTCTGGATTTTTTAATTCAATTTTATCTCTTTCCATCTGATTATTTCTTAACTTGGAATTACGGCCAAACCTGTATAGTAAATCTTCCCTCCTCTCTATCAACATCATCAGGTTTTCCTTCAAGCCACAGTTTTTAAAACGAAAGCAACGGGAGGTGTCAAATTACATTTAAAACTTGTCACCAACTTTGCGAAGACAACGCTCTTTACAAAAATTGCTCGCAAGAGAAAGAAAAATTGAAGTTTTTCTCAACAAGCAGTGTCCGCGATTACAATTCCTTTCCATTGCCAAGCTCTTAACATACTCAAGAAAAGTTTTCTTGACCCCTGCTTCCCTTGTTTGAGTCTGCCTCTGCATATATATTCCTACTGCGATATAATTGGGTTATCAGACGCGATATCCATATGCAGACTAGGTATCCACATAGGTGGAGGAAATGTTTAATTCATATCTGCCTTTTGAGCTGGTATGCGCAGAAAAAGAACTTCTCAAAATTTGGGAAAGGTCACTGTCACTGGTAAATAAAACTTGTTTTTGTTTTTAGAACCTTTGCGAGAGTCTCAGCCTGCAAAACGTGTGAAGTTGTTTTGTGCTGTGAAGAACTGATCCCCTCTAACTGACTGTGCGAGGGCTCAGTTGCAATCTTTGGCAAACTTTCTCATATTATAATGATGGATAGTGATGTCGAAAGTGTTAAGGTTTTGCGAGGTAATAGAACTAGTGCACTCATGCACGCCTGGTTCACGAGAATGGTGCACAGGCAGGGGACGAATGTTAAGGCCGGCCTTCAATTGTAATGGCTGGAAAAGCACAAGCAAGCCTGACGATGAATTGATTTCCACGGTCCCCTGGCTCCTGTTTTTCGGAAAATAACCGGCTTAGCGTTAACTTGAAAATGTCTTTCTTGAATTCATCCCCTCTCCCTATGAAAGGGGATGGAAGCAGTGGTGTTAGTGAATCAGAGGTTGAACAAGCTTCGTACTCAGACAAATTGACTGGGAAAGGCCGGACTTTTTGAAGGCCCTACCGAACAGTGATACAAAATTACCTCTTGCAGCTAAAAAACGTCCATCATTTCGCTCTGACAAAGGGCTAAGGCTCCAAACGTCGGCATAAGAAACTTTCTACGGTGGCCAATTTACATTATCAACTCCGTTGATAAAACTAAATTACATCATAGGAGACTTTTGCCAACGTAAAACTTCCAGGCCTCGTTTCATTGTTTCCTTGAAAAAAAAAAAAACAACAACAATATAACAAAAAAGAAAAAGGGAAAAACAACAACAACAAAAGTAGCAACGAGAACTTTGTTCTGAGGATAAATTTACTACACTAAATGACGTAAGCTTTGTCAATCATATCGCTTCGCATGATTGGCTTAAAGCAGGTTTTAACTTAAGCTCGCTTTCTTCGATTGGTTAAAATTAAAAACAATATGAAAAAATTTCTGGACACTGACAGGGTGATTAAAGTTCCAGGCAGTCTGTTTTAGAGGACTGAACCCGAGGCAGTATAAAAAAATTGAACGCGCGTAGGAAATGCATCCTCAGGACGCCGTCAAGTGAAAAGCAATCGAAAGAAGGGAGCCGTCCATGTATGAAGCAGATTGGCACATGCTTATAATAATCATACGGAAATAATTCAAAGGGTTAATAAACTGATATACTGATATAGGTATTAACATTGGTTCTCTCCTTGTATTTTCCATTTTCCTTACATGTGGTAAAAGTATTTGGAAGCAAGACTTCCGCGAAGTAAGGAGCTTTAAAAAATAACGATAACAGAAGAAAAGAAAAAAAGGTAAATTTAAGTGTTTTTTTCATTCATTTTGAAGCAGCGCATGTGTATGACAGACTAAATAACCTTGCGTGACTCCGTCACTTCGAGTCACTTTTTTCTGGAAATTAACGCGATCTAAACGACTCGCTAGACCTCAGTGCCTTGATTCTGGATATTAGGATTTGATCTCTTGAAGAGCAAAGAAATTCTGCTGACTATTTACACGTAAATTTATTTACTGCGGTTCCCAGCGGGTTACATCGGTCGGAAATCTTGTGTACAGAAAACAATTACATTTCAAAATGTATTTTTATTCGCTCGTTTTGTGTTTTGATCGATTTCATTCGGTTTACAAGGCTGCTTTGTCGAGAATCAATTGGATGTATTTCAAGACCACAGATCTTTTATTTACATCTTTAATGCCACCTGTCTTTTTCAGTCGACTTCTTTTATCTCTGCTCTCTAACACAATCTCATTTAAATCAAATTTACTTCACTTTGGGAGACACTGATCGACTGTCTCTAACTCTGATCAATCTCTCTACCTCTCTCTCTGATTATCCCTGACTTATACTAATTCTACAGAAAACGCTTTTATATTCATTAGCAGAAGGCATGTGTGGGCATGCTGCCCAACTGACCTTGGAAGATTAAACATCTGTTGTCAGAACACAAACCCAGACATTTTTGAACAACAATCTGCCTAATGCTTCCGATCAATCGAATGAATCTTTGACTGTGTAAGCCTAAACAAAAGCTTTAGTGTGGGCCCAAGGCAAGGTCAGAAGACGTCCTCTTATGGAATTTGAACAACACAGTCATAACTTGGAGACTCATCGCGATAACTTCGGACCTGGCCGATTCAAATAGTAACTAAATGCTAAATATAAGCAAATGAATAAAATCGTAATTAACCATTTCAATGCCTCATAACAATTCCATGCGAAACCGAACTCAAAAGTGATTTTCATTCTTAACTCAAACGCGGAAGAAGATATCAAATTCTCCGAGTTAATGATTTTGTTATGATGCCTTTTAATAACATATTTGCACACTTATCTTGAAGAAGAGCTTGTGACCCTAGGCGTTTGTTTAGAAGAGAGCATTCTCCTGCCCTGTCAGAGTTGAAATGCTTATTTTTTTCATCAGTAAAGCTGACCCAAAGCATCGCGAAAGAAGAAATCCAATAACTAGGTAGAGTGGTGGTGTGAAGAATCATGGGAACACTTGTGGCCCTCAGTAACGGCGTATCTCAACTTGATGTGGGGGAGAGGGAGGGGAAGAACACTTGCTCCAAGCGCTCCAACCCCGTCTTTTGAAGCAACAAGTTATCCGGGCGTTCAAGCTTCGCTCCGATCATAAGAACCATATTTATTTCTTCTTTTTTTGCTGATAGCTAAAAAAAGCAGACGAAGACAAAATAAAAACTTACTAAATAGCTGTGACTGGCAAAGCAAACGTATTGAATTTACAAGCTATGAAGACTATGAAGCGAGAAAAATTGAGTGACTTATCTTAACAAGGTACTTTCGTCAATTTCCCATGAATAACAATGGTTTGATCATGATTTGATTATCATCAACCCTCTTCCTCTTCTCTGGAATTTCCGGGAAACTTCAACCGAGTTTGTGATCAACATCGGTGCCTGTTTACCTAACTATGCAGTTTAAGCTACTTTAAGTCGGTTGACTTTGAGTGTAAACAGCTATTGTTGTCATGAACTAGCGGTCAGAATTATATAATTCTCTTTAACGCATTCTTTTTTTTTTTTTCTCCAATTGTTCTTTTAATTGTTATAGACATTTTTCACTCTCTTCTCGGATTTTTTTTTTCTTAATCGAAAATACAGTTCTTAAGGAATTTCAAAATCAAAAGTCCCTAGGGACGAGGTTTGACTAAAGGCACCTTTGTGTGAACAGAACGCTGGCAGGCTAAGAAAACAAAGGTGTTAAAATAATTAGCGACTCTTAAATCCTTATGAAAACCGCCATCGATGAATTTCGTGAAGTCTTTCAACCCTTTGGTGATAAAGTCCTCTGATCTAACTGTGTCATACTCGTCAGCTGTTTTGTTCGCGTGACCTCGCAAAACAGGCACAAACCAAAATAAACCTGTACGGGTGAGTTTGAACACAGACTGATGATTGAAAGTAAGATTGAGCCACAAAAATTTTTCGTAGTGAAACTCATAACTGTTGGCTGCCTACAAACAAAAACATAGCATACTGCGGCTAACTGGGGTATGTTTAATGTGATTGGTAGTTTTCGTGTGTCAATGACGTTATGAATATTAATAGTAATTTTGTTTCAATTCCCGCGACCTAAGGCGCAAATTGGGTCATCAACCAGCTACGAGTAATGAAGGCTTGTTTGAGGAAAACTTCAAAACGCTGGGAAAAGACTTTCAACTTCAGCTCGGGAAGTAAACACTATTCTGTCGAACTAGTTCGTATAAAGCGTTTTTGTGGCGAAGAATTTCGTATATTTACAAATGGACTACAGATTACTCGTGCAACATTTAAGCGTCTCAATGGCTTAGCTGTGTGCAATAGGAGCGAACAATTCGCTTGGGAGTTTGATGGCCGTTCTTTTCTGTTGATGATTGTACCTGGAACATGGTCGATGACAGAGTATCATTTGCTGATCGACGGTTTTCAGATAGACTTGAATCTCACTCCATCAGATCTGTGGAGAAGACGAGGGTGGATTCTTGTTTATTTTGGCCTCATCGAGGTGTTGATTGGAGTTTCATTGGAATCGTTACGATACTTTGAGGACACTGTGCCTTCTCCGTATGTTGTTGTATGGGAGCTACTAGGCCGCGTTTTATTAATATTTGGCTTGTTAAAGATTGTGGAGGGTTTAACCTCACATGTGGTGAGACATTCTAATCGTTATGGGCCAGTTTACACAGTGTAGGAAAACTTCAAACCACATATTACTAATTCAGCACATTTTCATCCAGGCAAAACGAAGTTAAAAATATCCAGTACTACAAACTATGAATCCGATCAAACTCTAAAGCATTGTGAAATTATTCATAATATCATGTTGACTCTAATATGTATTAAAATATGTTCTCTGTTGTTTTCGTTTTGAGTTTTGTTTACAACAATACAGCGTCATTTGGGAGTGAGATTTATCACGAACGGAGTATGAAAAGAAATTGCACAAAACTTATCGAGAAAATACAGACGATTGTTTCGTGACTGCTTCCGTAACTTAACGTCAATGTTTAAAATCGTTCGATCTGGGCTTAAAAATCGTTTGATCTGAGCATAGCAACAAAGTAAATGACAGTCAATACAGCGTTTACGTTGTTTTTAAATCAAGATGATTGAAACATTATATAACCAATACTGATGTGAAGTACGCGTGAAACGAAAAGAAAGCAAATACTTTTTCAAATTCAATAGCACTTCAAAACATCTGGGCACATGTCCCTTAAGAATTTTCTTACGAAGTATTCGTTTGTTGTTGTTAGAAACCTAGCCCTCATTACTTCTTTTATCAGCAAATCCTTACCCCGCTTTATCACCTGCTTTTGTAATGCTTCATCTCCTAAGAGAGAAACACAATAAACTAATTCTTATTTTTCCAACCTATAGGAGGTCATCGCTAAATAATATCGTCAGAATATTGCTTTTTGCCACACTTCAACCGCACCAAATAAATTATTAAGCTTCACACTGCTGTATTCAAGGTAACCATTTCATTTCCATAACACTAATCTTTGCAGGTGTACATTGTTTTGCCCGCGCGCATAAAGTGTTCCTGTCGAAATATCATTTTCAGACTTGGCACCTTGTATTCTTTGGAATGGTTCTCGTTATTGGAAAAGCAATCAAAACAAAAGGTTTATGGTGTTCAGCGAATCTTTGTTCGATTAAATCGATCAAAATCAACAACAGCTGAAGTAAAAAAATTGGAATATGGAAAGGTATCGAAGATTGTTTTCTTCATTTATAAACTGTATGCATAATGAAGTAAGGGACCGTGCGGAAACCTTACCAAAATGTTATTTAAAATGTATGTTTTTCTGTGATTTTTACTTAATGATTATCTTTTTTGATAGAATTATGCAAAATTTATACATGGAATATAGCTAGTAATCGATCATTCAGTTATGAAAATAAAAAGAGAAAAGTCTTGGAACGCTTTGCATCTGTTAAAAAGAATCAAGCATCACGCACTCACACAAGTTGTGGGGAAGAATATTCAAGCAACTAAATTCTGGAAGCTACGTTCGGGTATGAGTATCTCATATTGATTTATAGTCGAGTCGGGGCTTATAGAGGGTTGCTTGCACTTTTTGCTGTTAAATGTTTATAATGTAGCTTCTATTTTGGCCAATCAACAGGAAGAAGTCAAACAGTTTGTCACGCCATAGAAAGTATCTTACAAATACGTGTGTCACACTTCAATTCTCTTGTCAGCTGGGTGATCGATCTCCATTACACTTTTGGGTTGCGGATAATTTTTCGCAATTACGACTTAAAATTCCATTGGTTAAGCGAAAACCCACAGATAAAAGCACAGTGACTAAGCAGAGGGTCTTTTAAGACCTTTTAATCCGAAATTAATCGCAAAGTTCTGAGCGAAGGTTGAAGCACATACTCTATTGTTGTTGTCGAAGAACGCCAGAGATGCCTTGTTGTAAAACCACTTGTACATGGGCCCAGAACCTCAAGGTTGGTCCTGAATATCGACAGTATACAGTACAGCTGGTTCGTGAAATTGGTTGCGTTTGTGAAGGGTACCGTATCTACGTTAATGGACATGAACTGGAGCATCATGGATTGACTTACAATCCATGTAGCCCTCTTTGCTTTGGTGGCGGACAGTACGAGTGGGAACAAGATGGTCATTCATTCATTCTCGTTTTCAATTCGTTGTCGTGGACGAACTACTTTGGAGGTTTTCGCCTATTCATAGATGGCACAGATGTGAATACTGGGCGTGAATTTTCGTCGTTTTGGCGGCGCCGTGGGTTGCAAGTTATGTTCGCTGGCCTAGTGTTGCTGTTCTTGGGTACAACTTTATCATTGATATTTCATTATGCACTTTCTAGGCGAACGCATTTAATTGCTGTCGGCTATGCTTTCTTTATTACTGGTGTGGTTTATATTTTGCTCGGGCTCATTCCAGTCTTACGATTCCGAAAACCACGGTATGACAGGGCTGCCGCAGTGGAGTACACAGCTAACACAGTGTGACGCGAATCCGCATTTCAAGTGGTTCTTAGGACTTATGGCTTAGATTGAAGGTCGATAAGAGTTTACTGCTACAGTTTATCAAAGTGTTTCTTACACAGCGACCAGCTCTATTCGATGCCTGAATAGGTTAGCAGCTAAATATATCAAATGCGTTAAATTCACAATACATTTTTTGTATTTTATTACCTTCTCAAGAGGTCATGTCATTTTCGTGAAATATGTTATCGAAAAGAAATTAAATCATGTTGGATGCTCATTAGGTCATAATTTATAGTGGTTTTATAGCTATGACATTAGGCATTAACTATGATTGATCTTCACCGGCATTTTCCATAAATATGTACCTGATTTGCTGTCAATTTGAAAAGCCTTTTCACTTGAAAATAATCTGAACATTTCGTTCTTAATTTTACTTTGGTTTTGAAGTTTCCCTTGTATTTGGTAATTTAGCTCTAGTTGTGGCTTGAATGAGTACTTTTGAGGTTTAGCTATCAGTAATGCACACTTTCTGTTACATTTACATCTTACCAAGAATTTATGAAAGGTAAAATGGGCTTGCTTAGAAAGGCAGACATTTCATGTAGTTTTCATGGGAGTGAGCCTCTTAATTAAGAAAAAATGTAATTACACTGGGAGGGAAGGGGTTCAGAAAATACTGAGAACTATTCTTTCACCACAGAAATCCTAGGAAAAAATTGGATTGCATGGAACACTTAGGTCAAGGTGAAAGCAGTCAATAAACATTTTCTTTTCAGTGCATTCTCCTTTTTTTTACAACATGTATTATATATCTACACACAGAACAGATTTCAAATGTTGGCTTGTGGTGATTGTGCATTAGTAACATTTTTGTGCACTGGGTGCAGTATAGATTGCTATGCTATTTATCAGGTACTTATCATTTGTGTTGTCATGTTTATTACTTATCTCTTCACATATTTGCATTGTTCAAATATTAAGAAATATTTATGTTTTATAAGGTCCACATTTCCAAGACTATACTATATAGGTGTAAGTCTTGACTGTAAAAATTAAAAATTGGTGTTCTTTGGAACACCAACTATGAATGACAATAGTGTGACATTAGTATAGGTAGAATTTCTTAGATCAAGTGATTCTTTTAGAAGTTGTGTTTTTGTAGATTTGATAATCATTTTGACAGAAATGCCAAATATTTGACAAGACATAAATTCTACACATTGGTAAAAAAGTCCTCAAGGAGACACTGAAAAGTCATGGCGTTCTTCTTTTTTTGGAAAAGTACAGATCCTTTTGATAGGAATTTAAAATGGTAACTCATCCTTTTTCAAAGTTTTATAATTATTACTCAAAAGACAGGTTAGTTTGAATTTTTGGGTTGGGATACTGAAGCTTCAAATTTATTGGTGCATATCACGTAAGATTTCCCCTCCAGCTGCTACACATATTGTGGTAAATTAAGTATGAGAATTTGGTGTTGACTAAGACAACCATCTTTGCTGAGTATCCTCATTACCTGTTTACTGGATTGTCTATGGATTACTGGATTGTTGCAGCGTTTAGATCACCCCTGATGAAGGCACTAGACAGGAGTGTTGAAACGTTGGGTCTATGAATTGTAACTTCTTCGGTTACATTCATTAAATTGGCAAACCAGAGTAGCATCAAACTATGTCCAATTGTCCACCTGGTTGCCCTGTGAACTTTAATATATTTTGTTGGGAGAAGTTACCTATCAATCGCTTCAGGTGTTGTGCAGTGACATCATCTTATCAAAAAAAAAAAAAAAATTGAATTACACACAAATAGTATCAAAACTTTCAGTTTAATATTCAGTTGTGCAGAATACCATTCACTAAAATCTCCTCACAAAAATCTTATGTCAAGTTCTTTATTCTTTTGATTGAATTCCTGACCCTACCTAAGGTTCTTTTCTCTTAAACTCCTGTAAAATTGTGCCAAAATTTGTGGAGTCCCATGCTAAAAACACAACTCCCTATGATCCATATAGAGCAAATAAAACATGCTGACTAGAACAATAATTTTTTTAAACCTTAGGTTGCTCAAAATTGACCAGGTTTGATAACAAAGAGACTGAAATAAAATGTTACAAACCAAACTGTTCTAAGATCCTGTGCTATGCAGGTGAGCCTCGGGTCTGTGATAAAAATGTGAAGTTCACCAACTCCACTTAATTAAAATGAGTTCAAATTTGATCTTTTATTTATTATAACTAACAAGTAACAATCATAAATAACTATAATTACCTCTATCTGATATCTTTGTTCTGAGTTTTATAAATATGAGGGTAAAATATGTTCACCACTATTCATTTTTTTCTTAAATTTTCTTTTTTTGAAGGGCATCAGCTGAAATCTCTTTCATGTCCCTAACTAAAAGAAACTTTTTAAAAACCTTGTGAAGCTGGTTTCAGGCTGATTAATTTTTAATATAAGTTTAAATATATTTATATCTTCTGATTGTGTTGTTTGTTTCATATGATTGTGAGTTAATCATCAAGTACAATCTATTTGATTATGCTTACAATCAAACAAACAATTTCTTAACATTTTTAATACATCTACAGAGTAGCTTTTGTGAAATGCAACAAAACTCACCCCCACCCTTCTAAACACTGATTATCAAGATGGCACATCTGTCCAATTTGAGCTAAATTACCGTTCTTTCAAAAATATTTTACTCTACAACCAAAGTGAGCAGAAATGGGACTTTACTATGTTGTTGAGCAAACACAAGTTGGTTTTCTAATCAGAATATTTTCTGACCGTGAAAAAAAAAGGAGGCTTTCCATCTCAAATTCACTTGAAAATATACCTTTAGGTGTTAAGATAACTATTGTTCATTTTTGAGCTTTTCCCAATTTCAGTGAAATCCAAACTTCATGGGACAGCACACAACAAAAACATCTCTTCCATCCCTTTTAAATACTTTTTTAAAATTTCATTAGAATAATTTGTGTATTTTAAGTAGCTAGGCAGGATCATCTTCTATAATACCAATGGAAAAATCCTTGAGTTATAATGAACATCAAGAGTAAGAGCCAGTCTTTGAACTGAAGAGTAGCAAGATCATCCTGATGAGAGGAGTAATGGCGACGCAAATCACTTCTAATTGCCCTCATCTGTTGAACACACTCCTTCTGTAGATCTTTGAGTGGCTGGAAAGCTTTCTCAAGAGCTGCAAGGTCAATGCCTTCCTTAACACTCGAATCATCATCATCATCCTCAATGCTGCTGGAATGTTCAGCTTCAGGATCAGGTGTTGATGCACCTGAGTGGTCAATGGAACTACGTCGTGATCCCTTTGCTTGGCCGCCACATCGTGATCGACCAGATGAAGGCCGCTTTCGTTTTGAAATTGGCTTCTTGTTATCTGGTTGGACACTGAGTAAGCTTGTTGTTCGTACCATGGGTGCTTTGAGGCGATACTGTGTTTTGATGATTCCATCATTTTCATACTCCTTCAGGTCCGTCATTGGATCCCAGGGTCTTACACTACAAAAAATAAATGTAGATGAAAGTCGCAAAACTACAACAACAACAAAATATATAAGCCTCATACTCTCTTGTTTGTAGAGAAGGCTGACAGCATCCAATATAAGATAATGAAATGTTAATCAGATGCTTACTCTCTGTACTTGTAAAGCCATCGGTTGATAGCATTAGGAGCAGTTGGATCACGTTCAAACAGTTTAGGAATCCATTCCACTCCATTTTCTCTTCTTTCACGGTGACCTTTCCGCTGTGCCTCCTCAAGAGTGAACTTTTCGTTTGTTGCTTTTTCCTGACAATTTTGTAGAAAATGGTTGTACACAATGTTAACCTTTATTTTTTCGACTGGTTTACAAGGCAGTAAGAGATTGCACAACTAATTACAAAGTATGGTGGAGCAAAAGCATTGCAATGTTGCTCAAGTTCAGCACTTGCCAATTGAAAATTACTGAAACAAGATCTCCCTACCTGATCATTAACTTTAATAGCATCACTGACATTTATCCAGAGCCTGTATGTGGAAAAGTAATTTTAAGAGAGCAGTTATACATCATCCAAAGACACAACACCACCATAATGTGACCCCATGAGTCACCATACAGACATGTTGAAGTAAGAATTATATACTATATCTAAGCAAGATATGACATACTTCTCAGATTCAAATTCTCCTTGGGTGTTGTACTCCACCAAATGTCTGGGAAGTCTCTGTTCTCGGATTTCAGGAGTTGGGTCCCAAAACAGCTCAGGAAGAGGTTCCACTTCCTGAAGAAAAGAAATAGAAGTCACTTTACAACTTCTTAAGTGGTCACAACACTTTTAAAAGGACAGTAATTTGCAGACCATGCTCACTAGACACATGCTCTACACTAGGGAGATGAAGGAAGAGGTGCAACAGAACCATACGCTTAATAACAGGTAATTTAGTGTTAACAACTGGGTTGAAAACGTAAATTAGCCACCGTAAAGGGTAAAAAAGTTGACGTTTCGAGCGTTAGCCCTTCGTCAGAGCGATTAGAGGAATTGTGGGTTGTGTGTGGGTTTATATGCAGAAAGTGGAGCTACGCCATTGGTGGGAATATGGTGACGAGAAAACAGGAATAAATTAGTTGAATGAAAAGCGCTCGTTGGTTCCGTGGGGATTAAGGGTGCCGATTTGGAATATAAATTTTTGTTCTAGTGTTTTACGGCTTTCCGAACTGCCTTGATGTAAGGAAAGGCCGCAAACTGCCATGTGCTGTTTAGAATGATTAGGAAGATTAAAGTGTCTAGCGACTGGTTTGGATGCGTCCTTGTCATTTCTTTCCACATCGCGAAGGTGTTCTCGGAATCGGTCACCCAGTCGTCTTCCTCTTTCGCCGATGTATAACTTATTGCAATAAGTGCAAGTTATACAGTAAATAAAATTGGCGGAGGTACACGTAAAGTGATCAATGATCTTAATGGATCTTTTGGGTCCCGATATTTTCTCTACGTTATGAATGAAAGGACAAGTTTTGCATCGTGAGCGAGCGCATTTAAAAGTTCCAGATTGGTCATTGGTTTGAAATGAACTCCTGACTAAAAAGTTGACTATGTTTTTGTCACGTTTGAATGAAATAAGTGGTGGTTGCGAAAAGATAGTGCCAGTCTCTGAATCGTTTTGGAGTAATTTAAAATTTTTAAGAATGATAGATTGAACTGCGTGGTTGTGAGGGTGAAATGTAAGAGTAAATGGAATGCGGTCAGTGTTTTCCTTCTCGGCCGTTTTTAGTGCTGCCTGTCGATCGATTTGTTGGGCACGGTGGTAGCCCGCTTGAACGACAGAAACAGGATAGCCACGTTTATCGAAAAACTAGCACATTGCCTCTGATTTTTCGGAAAAATCAGAGTCGTCACTACATAAACGACGAAGTCTGAGAAACTGTGAAAAAGGTATGGAGTTCTTGACGTGTGATGGATGTGAAGATGAATACAACAAGTAACTATGTGAATCTGTAGGTTTGTAGTAAACACTAGTACATAAGCCGTTATGCCGTTAAGCCGGTTTCGTTACGTTTTCAACCCAGTTGTTAACACTAAATTACCTGCTATACTCTCCCACCGACGCAGCACCACAGTTTCTTTAGAAACTTACCCCTTTATTCATACGCTTAATAAGTCTTGCCCCCCCATTCGCTTTATAGAACTATAATTTTGACATGGGTGTGAAGAGCCCATCTTTAGATTTTACATTTCTCTGACTGATACATAAATAAGATTGTGTTTCTGTACTCACCCCTGCAGGAACTGGAGTTTTAAGGTCTGTGATAAGAATCTCACCATCCTTACAGGGAAACAAAAGAACAGACCATTTTCCATTTAATTGGAAGATATATAGCATACACATTGACAAAAGACGTATTATTTAGAGAGATACTTACCCACTTTCCTTCTATTCTACACAATGTTTCCTTTCCCATTTTAATCTTGCCAGCAACATAATTAGATTCCCCACTCTTCTTCCAGAATGGCTAAAATAATGACAAAGGTATGATTTCATTTAGATGGCAAAGTCAGCTGCTGAGTCTGGTATCTCATCCGACAGGAGCTGCAGTATTGCTCTTTCCCCCTGGATGGAATCCCACTCCATCAAAGTTTTCCCCCTATAAAGTTTCCTGACAGTTCACTTGTCCTTACAGACACTCCTGAGTGGAGAGAGGTACTCATAGAGTAAAGTGTCCTGCCTAAGAACACAGCACAAGCTCTGAAGGGGCTTGGACCCAAATTTCTTTGACATTGGCGCTCCACTCACAGAAACCCTTGATCTTCTTACCTTAAGTTTGAATTCAATTTCAGCCTTGTACCCAGTCTTCTCACAGTTTATGGTAATGACTCCTCCTAACTCCATTGTTAGCGTGCCAATCAAAATTCCTGAAAATCAAGAAAAAGATCACAGTACATGAAACAAAAACAGCAGAACAATTATAAACAGCTTTCAGCTAAATATTTTAGCTCAAAGGTTTAGTTTTCCCTTTGATTCTACCTTTTCAGGGAAACAGTTCTTTCATCTCTATCATCTCAGTTACCAATCTCAGTTACAGTTCAAGATAAAATAAGTTAAATTAATAAATTAATTTAATTTACAAATTAATTTACAAATTAAGGTAGTGTCCTTGTGATGTTCTTTTTTTGGATTGCTGTTCACTTCAACTTTCAAAAATGTTATTCGGTAGGTAGTGGATCTTTTGAATATCTGAATTTTAGATCTTACCTTCAAAAAAAATTTTTTTTAAGATGCCTAAGGCTATAGAGCCACAGCTCTAATGTAAGTTACCTAGCAATACACTATGAAAAAGAACAAACCTTTACAATGAGCATATGGCATACTCATGACGTATTCTTCTCCAAACCTCAGCAAAGTTAAGGTAGCAGTTCCATCCAAAATGGCAGAGGATGAATTCCCTACCAGGGAAAACACACACTTAAGATTAGATCTTGAGAAAGGTTTATTGAATTGGAGGGGATTTACATATTTTTCATAAAAATTGGCTTCTCTACATATTTAGTCTACTTTACTGCAATGTTTTTGTTTTTCACAGTGAAGCAAGAAAGTATAAAGCATGTCGAGGAGATCTTACAAGATCCTGGTAGACAGCCAAGCTTTTCATCTCACAATGTTCATGCTCCAGTCAGTCAGATCAAAAAAATTGGACAAGTGTACTTAACCGGACCCACAAAAAAAGGTCACAAGGCAAATACTATTAATAATAAAACTACCAGTTACCATAAAATTTGGACTTGGCCAAGCAAGAGCAGTTGACTACATATCCCTCTTTTCTATTGGACACATAGAATGCTGATACTGGAGGATGGTGGGAAACTTGTTCTGCGACAAAGTATGTCTTGGTACCATTAGGATTACCCCAGTAACAGCGGAACGTCTCACCAAGGATAGGGTTGTAAGGTTTCTTCAAACCCTATGAATAATTATCAGAAAGATAGTTATTCAAATGATTGTCAATTGGTGATATACATTCTGGTACCATACACAGGATAAGTCAGATTTTAGATATTCTGGTTTTTTTATTCAAAAGTTTGGTACATCAACAATGTACAAATTTACAGTACTAAGGGGTAAGCTCAATTTCTCTCACCAACCTTGGGTTTCTTGTAAAATCCTGACAAATACCACCTGACTACTTCCTTGATTCTGCTGTAGGCATCCTCCTCTCTTGCAGCTCTACATAATTTATAAATAAAAAAATGTTACCATTTGCAAAAATCTTTTTGTAATTTTTTTTTTTTTGAGGGGGGGGGGGGGGTTAAGGTCTACTCCTATCCCCTCAGAGTTGTTCTTCCCACCACATAACCTTATTTTCAATGTTTCTTTCAATCTGATGACTATAAAAAATCACCCAAGTCACATTGAACTTGATGTAGAATGGGGTGGGTGTAAAATAAGAGTAAGACTTGATCAAATAGGATTTGTGAACTGTTTACCTGGACAAAATGTCACAATGGAAGTAGAAGTCTGAAAGCTTGTCTAAAAATGACCTAGGTTCCAGAATAAAGGTTGGTAAAGTAACCCTTGAAAGATCCATGCCTGGCTTGACCTGTTGAGCATTTAAATGGTCGGTGTTAACATTATTTTGGTAACTGCTGTACCAATAGGTGGGAAACCTAGCTTACTAACAAGTTCCGTGTAGCATTCACCCACATCATTTGAATAAGCTTCAAATCTTCACCCTTATCCAGCAGATCTTAAAACATTTTCCTCTTAAAAGATCTTAAAAATTTTTTTCGAACGGAATTTACTGTCCCCTCTAATCTCCAAAGCTCATTTCACCTGACCTGTTTTAAAAGTGCCCACAGAATACTTTTGTTTTCATCTTCAATCTCCTCTAGTGCCTCACCAGCCTAACAAAAACAATACTAAAAATAAGTCATGCTGAACAGTACATTTCTTTCAACAATTAAGCAGTATTAAGCAATACATTTCCTACAATTCTTTCCACATCTACAGGTACACTTCGACTACACCTTTGGTCTGTCCAAATTGATAAGAGTCTCAATGAATATTTGAACAACAATTGAGCTCCATAAAAATCAAATAAAAGCTTTTCAGGACTAAAAAAGTTATGAGCCTTTTTCCGATATAAAAGAATCGAGCTGATTACTTGGTTCAGTGTATGTTTTGTACTTAAAACCATGGCATGGAACTTTCACAGCAACATGCTCGTCCCAGGCACTAAAACATTTCTTAAAAAGTTGTTTAATTAAAATATAAATTCTACACAACATGATTTTTGCTCTAAAGGCAGAGAAAGCCAGTTACATATGGTAAAAAGCCAAAATAGTTTTGAATGAAGAATTGCCCAGAAGTTTGCACCTGTCCAAGATATTCCTCCCCTTTCTCTCCAACATAAATTGTTTCTTCAACAGGACCCTCTTCCATCTCCTCTTCACCATCTGTGATTAACAAAATATACGATTTCAACAACATAACTGTAACAACAATGAGATTAAGGGTTAGGTCAAATCTACTAAATAAATTTAATGTAAAATTTGACTAGGAAAAAATCATCTGTTCCCTTACCAACTGCTTGCTGGATAATGCATTGAAATTGTGGGAAGTAACTCGATGAGGAAGGGATAAGCAGGTTCAGGACAGGACAATCTATTTGTGGATAACGTTAATTTTGCCACTTGTTTGGGGCAAGAACTACCTACCTCTTCCAAGTGGCCCTATCGTGTCATCCAATTCATTATCAGAGTCAGATTTTTCCTATGAACAAAACACAATAAGGGAAAAATAGAGAATGTAAAAAAAAGAACTAAAATTGGTGTAGTTATAAATTGCATTTTTGATGTTCACAATAAAATAAAAACCCCGTCAATTGTTATGAGGGATGTTAAAAGAACAACACCAAAAAAACAAGTTACACAATGTGGGAGAGAAAACAAACACTCTTCTCAAACTAACTAACCCTAACCTAACCCCAACCCTAACCCTAAGATAAATAAATGATACAAAAATAATATCTAACCATTCCATCATTGCTGTCATAATCTTGATCTGTTAAAGAAGGAAAAAGCCATTTTTACGCATGATATATATATATATATATAAATTTGTATGTGTACCTTTTATATCCCCTCTACAATCAAACAAACTAATAAAAGCATAAAAAACTGAAAAAACCAAAACAAGTAAGAAATAACTGACCTTGAATGGCTGGAATTCCACTGTCATCCTCTCTGTCTTCCTTGTCATCCTTACCATACAGCTCACTTAACCTTCCAGTATAAAAAAGGCATGTCATGATTTTTATTAAATCCAAGCATCACAGATCACATTGAAGGATAATTTTTTTTAGACATACATTCCTTTGTTGTCTTTTTGATTGCTGTATCCCTGATTCTGAGCAACTTCTAAAGCATCTAACCAGCACCGTCCTATTCAAATCAAAATGTAGCAGTTGTCTTTAGCACAAATAATGTTTAGATTAGTTGTACAATGAAACAGAGCTCAAATTCTTATCTGCTGTAACAGGGAATGGAGCAACAATGTACATCAGTACATGAAGAGTGATATTCTGGCAACAGTGACTGAGATTTCTACAATCTATTCAGAAGTTTTAATCAGAGTTAGATATCATATACAACACTTACCATCAGATTCAGAGTCTGCTCGTAAAATAAGGTGATCCTTCGGCATAGGTTGAGCAATTGAACCAGCCAGCTCTCCTTTTGGTCCTCTTGTTGCCCACATGTAGTGCTCAAGTGGATGGTAGATTTTAAAACAGAATCCTTCTTTCTTGGAAGGTCTTTGTAAAATCTCACAGCCATTCAATAGAACAGTGCCTACCCACTGGCCATGCTGTGGAAAGAAAGCAGAGCTGAGTCACTAATACTTGCCATGATAATATATGGACCTTAGTTTATAAGTTGCAAATGCACCTGAAATAAAATTACTAAATTTGTACTTGAAAAAATTTCAATTTAGTTCATACCTTTGCACTTTTGTAAATAAGCAGCATACCAGGCTTAACAACACACCAAAACTTCTGCCAGCCTTTCAAGGTGCCACGAACCTTACAGTTGTCAAAAAAGTTGATTAAGGATGTGTTGAATTGTAAAAATTATTTTTACATCAAAGTTGCAGAAAAATAACTGCTACAAATTATCCTCACCTTGAGCCAGGAGGAAAGTATGATCACTGAAGGGTCTTTCAGTGCACTAGCTAACTCTTTTATTCTGCGTTTCTGTTCTTGTCTGTAACTCTCTTTCATTGCCTTGAAAGACAGATATATGAAAAATTATCCTCTGGAAGAATTACAATCCAAGTATACACTGTCCCAAAATCCTATTGAACTTCTTGTAAAGAAAATTGTCCTAATTTGTACACTCTGAGAGTATATTGGTTGATTTTTCTTAGAAAATGTTTCTACCAGTAAGATTTGATAATTTGGGTCACAATTTATTGTCATCATCATAAACATGTGTGTCAAGTGTACCACCTCTTCATTAAAGGTCATGCCTTTACCATAAAGTTGAAGTTACTTCATCCCCACAAACATACACACACACACCAACAGACAGACACACACACATAATTATAGTTATCTGGCCAGTACTTGTTTGACCAGCAAAAAACATTCATGGATATAGTTATCTAAAATTAAAACTTACCTTGAAACTTTCCTTTGAAGTTTTCCTTGGAAACAGTGGGGATTTGTCTGGCACAGAAAGTCTTTTTTCCAAACTCTGCTGTCATTTCAAAATGAATTGAGTATTAGCAAAAGTATCTAATCATATAAAATTGTACAGACTAGCAGAATCAACATTCTCTTTGTACTTCTATCAAAGCTTTTAGCACAAAGAAATATGAGTCTTTTAATATTTTAACTAAAAGCTAACAACAATTTCATTTTTTAAATTTTTGACTTGACAATAGCAAATCTTTCACCCTTCATGCAAGAGTTCAATAAAATATAATTTTTTGAATCCTTTGATTTTACACAAAAACACGAGCCCAAAATGACTTCACTGTTGTTTCTGACCAGTAATAACTCCAACTCCTTTTTCAAGGAGGAATTTTGAACTCTGGTATTTTCTAAACCTGTGATGTACAGTTTATAAGCTACATGCAAGTTGCTGTTCAATGTAAGACTCTTAATACAATACATAATTTAAATAAAACACATTGTAACTGCCCAAGTGATATTTACCAGCCTCTCTTTATCTCTGTCCTTCTTATCCAGCTTAACAGGTGGGGTTGAATTCCTTGGACTTGGACCATCAAATTTAAAACTACCTTCTCCCTCATCTTGTGCTTAAAAAAAGGAAGGAAATTTTCTTAAAATGTTGCTTTGGATGATAGTGCAAAATGCTGTTTGTTATCATCCTGACCTTAACAATCATACTGTTGATAACCATTGACCAGAATCAATCAATATTTATTACAATTAAGTTATCACCACAATCTGATGTATTAAAAAAATTTTCTGAACAGCAATATAGAAATACTGGCCAGGTTAATGTGCATAGTGTTAAATCTCTGATGACAGTGTACAATATAACTCATAACTGGCAGAAGAACAGTTAAGACACAATTGTTAAGTCATGTACCTTGGAAAAAATTACAGGTATTTTTATCTTTTTAGAGCATATAAATACTGGCACAAAAGGAAAGTGATTAAATCTATTAAAAAAGAAGTTACATACAAGGTTAAACTGCACATAATGAATGTTCCTAAAAAATTCGACCTATTCAATAAATATATCATTTGCTAACTTAAGCTTTATGAGGTCACAAATCAAAGAAAATTTTAGGAAAATGAGAAAAACATCATGATACCCAATCTTATGAAAGATGTCTAATTTACAAATAAAAATTTTGAAAAGACATCATCTTGCACAACTAGTAGTTGCTGTAGTTTAAAGCTCAAATGAAGCAATTGACGTGAAAAAATTGACTAAATAAATACACTAAAAGAAAAAGGAATTATACTCTTTCAAGTAAAAATATCTTAAAGGTTAAAATGCTGATTCCCAGCTAATTTTGAACTGTTTTAGTTTAAATACATATTGCTTCTGTCAGAAAACAATGAAGGCTAAATCAACTTCAAACTTGTTTGATTTATATTTTTCTTGTTCAAGATATATTGTGACGATATAAGTGTAAATCAGAGTAAACATGAACAAACTATATACATTGTAAAAACAGACAATTTCAAAACTACAACACCCATCAAATTTAAATTGTACCCTTTTAAAACCCATATTGTGGCGCATAGCAGTGTTTCTCTGCAATATTTTTGGCCTTAATATCACAATCACATGAAAATATTTAAATATTACTTATACTGATACTAATGATTACACTACAATATCCTTTCAAAAAGTGAATCAAAATAATTTAGAGACAAACAATAATTCAAATTTCCTGCTGTGTTTGATATCAAAGTTATAAATTTAACTTGATTGCTTGAGCAAATGTTACTTGGAAATTAATTGTGGCTTCAGATTGATCAATATTGACTGTGGTAAAATGATCATAGGAAGTTTTTAAATTGTCTTCTACCGACTGAAAAGTGTGATGAGCGAATGCCATTCAAAGCAATCTGGTTTCACTGCCCTTCATTCAAGAATGCAAAACATTTGAAAACCTATATGAGCAGTACAAAACATTTCAATAAAAGCAAAATAAACCTGATGCTTAAATAAACCAGCCCAGGCTCCAACCTGACTATTTTTTACAGCCTTTTCAGAACATGACAACATGTAAAAAAGGAAAATATATGTACTATTTCAGTGGACAATTTAATTTCCATTCTGGCTGTGATTAATTTTTCATTACCTATAGATTATACCGGTAATATTTTGCTTACTCAGACAGGAATTGAAATTTGCCACAGATATATGACGAGAGATTTCCACTGACATTACAAGCCATCATCAGGTTTCTCAGGGCAAAATAGTATAGCTAAGTTACCATTAAAACATGTAGCTCTGCAAGCCACAATATTTCACCAAAAAGGCTTTCATGCATTTAAAATTTCTCCTCCTCATACCAGCTGTCAGGAAAAGATAATCTTCACCACAATTCATTAATGTCATTATCATAACACTGAATTCAAATTGTGTATACTCCTTTCATGATAAGCTTTCTCTGACTTATTGAGGTTGGGGCACCCAAAGACATTTAACTCCTATTTAAATTGAATTTGTAAAATTTTGAGGTCACATTGACAAGAATGTATGGGAGAAATCATTGCACCAAACTACTAAGAAATCAATGACAATAATTTATGAAACAGGGCCTATCCTTCTTTGCTTTCAGATCCAGTCTAGAATATTGTTATCACAAAGGAAAGGGAACTTTGCAAGTCCTTTTGAAATACAGTTTATACTGAAAGTAATCATCAAGAAATAATATAACCCAAAATGCTTCCTGGCTATAAATTTAAGTGAACAAGTTTAAAGGGGAAAAACTAACAGAAAGGGTAATGGATAAAAAGATAGACATGAAAGTGTTTAGACACAATGACTCAATTTTACTTTGCCAAAATATTCTGACTACTGGATAGCTCTTTCATTGAACTCTAGCAAATACCATCTAATTATATGCCCCCTATGTTTACATGCACAAATCAACAATAGACATTATTACCTACAAACTGAATTTACCTTGTCTTCGTTTCCCCTTATCCTTCCTTGCTAACATAGCAAGTTAAAATGGAAATCCACAAGTACCACAATATGTTGGAAAAACATTAAATTGAGCTTGAAATGACAGTTTCTGTTTCAAAATAGATAACAATTTCCTGTTACTGGCAAGGTAGCCCTTTCATGAGAAAGCTACAGGTTCATCTCTGAATAACCCGTAATCCAAACATTTTCATCCACACAAAGCTATAAATCAAGAAACCTATCAATTACCTGAGAAAGCAAATGTGTGGTATCAACAAAATCTTCCCAAAATATGAATTATTCAAAAGCCAATAAAATCTTACATATTCAGACTAAACTTTTTAATTCAAATTTTTAAGTGCCATTTTCATTTGTGCTTCATGCATGTAAATAAGCCTGTATTCTCAATACTACAATGAATATTGCTTCAACAAATGGAACAAGAAAGCAAAAAAAGCTACAGACAGCCAATTTAGAACAAAAGGAACAAAATTGGATTCCATAAATTTCAGACATCCTGTTCTGATCAAAACAATTTCCACGGATGTTTATTCAATTAAGTCAGATACCCTGTCATCTAGTAAAAGATGTACAGAGAGCTAAATTTGGAAATGAAACTTATAGCAGTGTGCACAACTTTATGGAAGAAATACTTTAATCAGGCATGTTTAAATCTATTTTTCTTTTGCAATATGTAAGAAGTATTATTCTGAAATTACCTTATCATAATTTGTGAGGAAGTGCAACTTAAGTGGAAATTTTCTATAGACATAAACTAAATTTATATTTATTTAAAAATATTTTCACCTACTGTACATTCAACTCTGGAAATACACTCAGTATCAGTCTGGTACACAAACTATATCTTGACACAAAATTTTCATTAAACACTGCAAATTTGTTCAAAGTTATGTATTACAGAGTTCATTAAGAATTTCACCAATAAATGTCTCTTCTATCATTTTACACAGAGCACAAACATCAGATACCGAGACAGTTGTAAAACAAATTTGACAACAAAGCAAAAAAAATTGTACATACTCTTTATGAAAATGTATTTTCATTTACAGCTATACTGTGTTTATCTAATAAATTGAAACAATTACTTAAACACAATAAATAGCCCTTGGGCATAGCTAGAAATTTGGGTTTCTTAAAATGCGCTCCCTCTGCAGAGAGATTTGCTATCACTAGTTGTCATTGTTATAAAAATAGTCTTGACATGCCTTTACGTCAGAGTCACCACTTTCACCTTGAACTTTCCATTTCAAGGTGCAAGCAGGTAATGCAGGGTGAACAAGATTTTGGGATGATTTTTTAGCACATGGTGCAATCATGCAGGAGAGCTCCTCATTACTCTCTGGCAGAGGTAAGGGGACTTGCTTAATTCTCTTCAATTCCTTGTTCATGATAGCTTTCATTATCATGGCTGACATTGAGACCCTTCTACCAGTATTTTGGGGATGACTGTGAGCATATACAACATTGTGGCTATGAGAGAAAAGCTTGAAAAGGACATTTGACACACTCCTACATTCACAGAAAAACACCAAACAACTTTGATTGTTTTCATTTCTTTCTACTTAGAGAGCTGGCCTTTTGAGCAATATCATTTTAAATGCTGAATGGGCAACTTGGTAGAGCAAATGTTTATTGTTTAAGAAACAGTTAACTGTAACTCCCTCACAAACTGTGGACAATTGTTACCATAACATACACCATGTGCTTTGCTATCTGCAGAAGAGCAAGTTATCTTCTAAACAGTTTGATCTTTAAACAAAACTATATATGAGTTAATTAACAGCAAAAGACACTGTAAATCCTTTTTGATACCCTGCAGAAACACAAAACTTTCCCAGTGAAGGAGAAGGTGCTGATAACTATGTTCTTGATCTGATCTTATTGCTAAGGTTTGCCCCAGATTTCTCATTGCTCAGGCTAACACACAGATTTTCAGGATTTAAAAAAAAAATCATAGAAATTTGAGGCTTAAACCGATCCAAAAATTTATTCGTAGGAAAAGTACAGATAACAAGAAAAGAAGAGTTTTGAGGCATCAGGCACACTTAAAGAATTGTCTAAGCCTGTAACTTACCCAGTGGACTTGACTGTGTGCTGCGGTCTTCTTCACCATTTTCAATGTTAGATTTTCCTCGAGATAAACTTCCCAGTAGAAGTGCTGTGTCAGCTGAAGTGAAAAGAAAAATAACACTATTTTGAGCCACCTCATTTTTTCCAAAAATAAAATATGAAACACACAAACCACACTAATTGATCTGTTGTTGCATGAATGTCTTATGCTTAGAACCTCTCCACACTAGCCAAAAGAGTTGTTCATTTAGACAAATTTTCAATCACTTGCAACAAAATTTGTCCTGGGTAAAAACTGGACAAAATCAACTAAATAAACAAATCCCTGTGAAACTTGTCTATCATTTGTGGTAAAAGCTACAACTGGTGAGTAATTGAACTGAAATCAGATTACTAGAAAGGCAAAAATTGTCTTTTAATGCAAAACTCAGGGATTATAAATTTTTAAGATGATTTAGGATAAATCCTTGAAATTGGAGGTGGAATCCTTTGAAAAGCTATTCTGGCCAGTCTTATGAACGAATGACACCGCTGAGACGTTGATGGAATTTGGCAGCTTCAAACACTTTTGATGTGGATGCAACAGACAAAACAAAAATTTTGTCATGTCAAAATTTTTTTTTTTTTAATTTTGTTTGGACAATTCTAGTTTTGTTCACTAGTGCAGAAAGGCCCTTGGCAAAGTTACATGTTAAATTTTAAGTTACAAGAGCAGGCTGCTTGAATTTTCTTTGAGGTTGCAATGAACCCTTTAGTCTAAGATAAGCAAATCTTTAGGTATACAATGCTGTTTTTACCCATCGTGCAGTCTCAAACAATTCAAAGGATAGAAATCAAAGTTTTATGCAAAACTTATGACAAAATTTCACAAGAGTAAATGATTAAGTGTCACAAAAACAATCTGCATTCTTCTTGCAAACTACTTTATAATTGAGAAAGGTGTTTTTTGTCTGATCACAAGCATGGGACAAAGAAAAACTTTTGAGTCCCCATGAGGAATCAAAACTCAGACCTTTGGATTCAGCACTTCAATGCTCAACCACTGAGCCACAGAGACTACAGTGAGCAAGGACTATTCCAAAGTTCTTATGACACATCCTGTATACTGCTAGAATCAACAATGTCAATAGCGTCATGTTTGTAAACAGAATAAGAGAGATGGTTAGTTTTGAGCTCAGTAAAGAAATATATAGATTTCATAGTTCCTTAATCAAAGGAATTATATAATTCCTTTATATACAAAAAAAGGTTTTTTTGCAAAACTTATGGCAAAATTTCACAAGAGGAAATGATTAAGTGTGACTATAACAACTTGCATTCTTCTTGCAAACTACATTATAATTCCACTGTGAATATATGAAAGTCAAATATTATTGAACTGCAGATAAAGACCTGAATAGGAAAGCGATCTTCACACTAATGAACATTACTTGAGCAGTAGTGAAAATAAGGCTTGATAAAAACTCAGCCCTGTTTGGGATTTGAACCCATGACCTCTGCAATACAGGTGCAGAGGTTACTGAAAGAATAGGTAATTTTGACATGCTTAACAACAGACTGGAAAACATGTGAAACTTCCAACCACTCTTCTCAATCTTTCACCTTTTCTTCTTTATTTAATTTTTTTAATCACTAAGTTGATATTATTGCAAGCCTTTTTCTGGCTTGATGCCTGCAACAGGCCACTCTCTTGAGAAAAAAATTAATATCCTAAGTCACTGAATGTTTGGTACATTAAAGGAGAAATTTTCCTTGATTCTATAAGTGCAGTAAATATCAAAAAAAATATAGGCAACAAAGTGTGACATCACTTCAAGGCTGGGGATGACTAACACAGATCTCAAAAAAACAGCAACACAATATGGTTATGACAGTGTTCAATCACACAGGACCCCAAAACTCAAGCAAGACTCACATAAATATCACATCAATTCAACTCCAAGCACAGGAAAAGAGAATTGTATAACCTCTCTACAGACAAATAAAAAACAAAAACTACTTCAGCAAAAACAAAGCGATGCATAGCTTTTCATGCAAACCTTGCCACCTCCAGTTAGTATTCAAAATAACCACAGGTTACAGCATTCATATGAGAAAATCTTGACAAGCTGGGAATCAAAATAAGACACTAACTTATAACTTTAAGTGAAGCATTATGTGGATTAATAGTGAAGTGTTACTACCACAAATACTGCCTGCCTTGTTAAAAAGTTTGGATTCCCTGAAACACATTCAAGGCCAAAGCATATGTTAAGCACATTATCATAACAATTAAATGTTGTGGTTATTTAGACTCAGAAACAAACTGTTTTTGAGTTATTAAAGATACATGATAGCCAAATATATTCTCTGAACATCACCTCTCTTCAAATATCTCTTAGTAGAAGATAAAGTTTTATCCACATAACCACTTGCTATAAGCAATAGACTTAAAGCTCCAAACAAGGTATTCAAATTTACATATAATGTCAATGCTGTATTTCTTATCAGAGATGCAAATAAACTAATGTTAAAATCATACACAATGAGTTGACTCATTCTCAATTCCAATAAAAATAAGTGGAAAAATGTTATCGGGGAGTGATGCTGACACTAAATCAATGCATTTGTGATCCAGTGTAAAATTTATCGCTATCTAAAAATACAGAACACCACCGAATGATTGAGTGTGTTAATTTCCGAAAAGATGTCTATATTTCCTTAAACCTAAAACGTACAAGTGACATATTTATAAGCTGCTCTCGACCAGAACTTTTAACTGATAACCAAGGCATACAAGGAAATCAAAAAGCCTTTTAACACAATATTCTACTGATTCAAACAACTGAGAAAGGCCGTGTCGAAAATCTCACTTTCGATATTAAAACTTAGTCAATACACAATGCTCAATGTTGTTTTGAGACACTTACCGAGTGAAAACGAACGAAACTTTTTTCGTTTTGGGGTGTTTTTGATTTTCTTTCCTTCTCCAACATCTGCTTTGGACTCTTCGTCGTTATTAGTCGACATTATCCAAACAAAACTTAGGAGAATGCCGATAGAAAGCTCATAACCAGATTTGCTCTGTTCCTAACAGCGACAAATGGGAACCAGTTCCGTTGGCTTACCGCAAAAAGGTTCTGGGACTATCCAACCCTTTGCATCTCACAAATAATTCATTTCCTCTTTAACGAGATCGCAGACGGCAATATTTTGCTACTTGGTTCGTAAAAACAGCTATATTTCTTTCTGTGGAACCCCCACAGATTAGGACAAAGGAAAACAGTCAATAGTTGTTCAGCGCAAAAGAAATTAAGGCAGATGCAGTTGGTTCTATGCAAATTCAAAACCGAAAATTTTTTAGGATGTTTTAAGCTCACCTTCCTGAAACACTGATTCTTCCCTGTAAGCGATAATCACATTTTTTATTTAAGCAAAGAAATAAAAACCTTTACACATAGATAATCAAATATTATTTTCGTGAGAACTAAGTCGTTACCAAGCTGAAGAGCGTCGCTAACTCTTCACAGTTAATTGCCGATATATTTAAGAGGAGTCACCATTTTAAAATGATTCACCATGTGGAAAATGGAACGTAAAATTAATGTACTTTAAGGGAGGGCACAGTCAGTAAGGAAAACACGAACCCTCTACTCAAAAATATGTCACTGCTCGCCAACAAGTTCATATTTGGTGGTGTGTCTAACTGACTCGAGCACAACAAGACTTTGAACATAACAAACAAACTATTTCGTACGTTTTGAGCAAAAGATTATACAGAATTTTATGACAATTACCATAATCAATTGGGAAAAGTATAAAGAAGGGTAACATTTGTATAGATGAGCATCGTTACCTACGATCTTGGGGATGTGTGATCCCAGGGTTGGGTGGGAGTCAATTGGGCGATCTCTCCCTAGTCATAAATGTATTCCCAGAGGATCACAAGAGAACAAAATAGAATAAGGGAAGAAAAAAATTAGGCACCTTTCTCCTCGTTCTTTCGTGAACTCATTTCTGGGTGCGATCCACCGACTGGCTTGGCTGACCAAGACCTGAACGGTCGGTTTGCAATTCAACTTACTTCAATATGGCGGCCTATGGCAACTCAACTCAGTAGAAATTTGACGTCAATTTCCAAGCCAGAAGAGATTGACAAAGACTGTACTATGCATATTTTAAAGCAAGTCAATGTTGATTTTATGCTATAGGCACTGGAGCGAAAGCCTTCGGTCTTAGAAAGTAAAAGAGGTTTGGAAGCGGCCAGTTGTCGGTGATCGATCACAAATATACCGGCGAAAGAAAATATGCGCGCCCGCTGTATACACAAATTTTACGTTTTTCCATGTCATTACGACATTTCCGGTGAAACCTTGAGATGCGACCTCCCACCAACAAAATTCAAGAATAACTGAGAGCTATGATATCAGTAATATTGTCCGATAGAAGCTGCAAATATGGAAATTGACCCTTCAGGTGCTCGAATACAAACACAAATTGCCGAACAAAGAATCCTTAAGGGTTTTATTTCATACCATGGTGTATCGGAACAAAACCAGCCGCCAACGAGTCTTCGATCTCACTGCAGTCGCTTTCTGCAGAGCTGTCCGTCTGAAAATGACAAACAGAAGAAATTTATGTGTCACTTGATACTCTTAAAATATAACTGGCATAATAATTATAAACATTCATTCTGTAGCAACTTAAAGTTTACGTAGACTGTACAAAAACCACAGCATTAAAATGAATAACAAGTCGTCACATTGTTTTGGTTACAGGACTTACATCGTGACCACTCATTCCCGTGGTAACTGGTTCGGTTAAACCCCTTTCTTTCTCAAATTCGAACGGATTGTCGTCGGACGCCCTGATCGTTGGCGTGAACTGCGTAGAGTCGTTGAGATCCATACCACTTCGCCTGCTTTATCCTGCGTCAATGGCTTACAACTAACGTAATGCACATGTAAATTTTCCCTTGTAATCCCGGGAGAGCAGTAAACCACTGAATAAATTAACAAAACATCGACTCTCGGGGGTAGTGAACGTTATTATTGCCGTTTCTATGAAACATGGTAATGGTCAAGATATCAAATCTAAACAAACAAACAAAACTAATCAGGCGAAGTTCTTCCCAGCGACATAATGATTATGGTAACTATTGCTGGCGTTACTTGGTTGTTTTTTTTCTTCTGTTTGCAACGCCAGATGGGAAATTGCCGAACATTGTCTTCTGATTCTGATTATCTGATTATCTGTATGCTGCCAGAGTAAGAGTAACCAATGTCGAGCGTAGTTTGAAGCAATCATTGAAACAATGACCAGGCTCTGTCCAGTAATTTGAGGATGACGTCAGCATCAGACCCTTGTCTGTTGAAAGTAATGCTGTATTGCAAAGTTGTCCACGAGAACCCTACGAGGACAAAGGCTTTAAAACAAAGTACGCCTTGTCTATGATGAATTGTTATGGAAAATAATTTCCATTATCTAGATCCCTTTACCATCCCTTTGTGTCCGCCCTTCAAAGATTGTAAACATTCGAGCAAGGTAAAATCGCTGAGCTATTTAGGCGGTAAAATGAAACCAGCGAACGTAATCATAAGAAGTCCCGACTTAGGAGGTTTAAGCTGGCTGTCGAGCCAGGAAACAACCTCATACCTGACATACAGTATGAGACTTTCTAATCTTGCCTGAATCTCTGTAGCACCACCAAGCTTAAGCAATCTGCACTGCCCTTGGAAAATCCAAAGGGTGCGTGAAGTATATTGTGACCTTCAAGAAAATCTCGATATCACGGCACAAATGATGAATCTGACACCATCAGCTAAAGTTGAATACGATAAAACAGACTGTTCTTTCAGCCCAATGGCCAGATGATACCTTCGTTAGCTTCTCCCTCTCGCGCCTCTTAGAGATGTAGCAGTCAGCAAGGGTCCTCGAGAAATTGATACGGAAAAAGCTCCGAAGTAGAAAAAGAATAAGTTTTTCTTCGTCATTTTTGTTGGCGTGCATGACTAATTTTTGCTTTTTTTTCCTTGCTTTTTTTTCTTTTATTTCTGTAAAGGTACTTTCATTTATTTAATAATATTGGCATCGGTGACTGTAACGAAACTAAGTGCTAGATGGTTAACAACTTTTATTTATTTGTTCCTTTCCAATGTCTAACGGTCTGGCAATTACTTACGTTAAATTGATGAAATAAACCTGCTCTTGAAAGGTAATTTCAAGAAGAGGACTTGTTAAGGACTGTGTACAGTTGCCGATTACTCTCCAAAAGAAGCTGATTGGTACACAGCCTACATAAGTAAAAGTTTAGCGTGTGCAAAGATTAAAAGATCAAAAGAAAATCGGTACACAGCCTACATAAGGGAAGTTTTAGCGTTGAAAGATTAAAAGATTAAAGGCTAGTGATGATGGTCGCCACGGATTAAACATCCTTGGTTCCAAGAAAACTACGGAAACTCACTTGCGCTCTGTATTGGCTTGTACTGAGAACTCTTTTGGTAACTTCACACATGATGTTAATCAAAGCTATTATTTGATCACCAGAATATAATGATTAATATTGCTCAGGTTCAAAGTACGAATACTGCGGAAGTGAGTGTGCACAGTTAGCTAGAAAAGCAGCCACGAAAATGATAATAATGAAGGACATTATAATACTTCCTGCTGTGGATTACTTTCCTTTCATTTTAAATTCACCAAGTGGCAAAAATTCGTGTAATTCATAAATGATCTTAAACTGGAACATCCTATCGTGACAAAAAGGCCAAATTCCCTAAGCTAAATGTATGATTGATTGATCATGGGGATGAAAACGAAGTTTTCCACAAAGACATATACATCAGGTGATACATGTCTATCAAAATTGGGGATGAAAGATGTTTGACACTGTTCCGTCTTTTCCCAGAAATCAGTCATTTTAGACCCACATGAGCAAACTGCAGTTCCCGGACTGAATATATTTTCCACATGCTTGATATTGAATACTTGTTATCAGTCCAAAGAACACGCTATTTCACGTGAAGTTCATTTGTTCTTGATGGATTCAAAGCGTGTCGCCATTGTATTGTAATTTCTCGTGACAGGGACATTTGCTAGGAATAAAAAAAAACTTCGATTGCATCATTGAATTTTTAAGATAAACAAATGACAAATTGGTTAATCTCATAGTGGTTTCAAGTGGTTTCAGATTCGACTTTTTTCGCTAAATGGTCAAGGTCGCAAAGATCTTAAGTGCAACATCGAAAGTTTGCTGTAGTTGGAAGCTTATCCAGTCTTATTCCTGACGTAACAGGAGTTTCTAAGAGGTTACGAAGCGCCGGGTGAGTGAAATTCTGGCTTTGTAGGTTTTTCTTTCAACGATTGTCATATTCACTTGACGGTATCATTCTTGAGTGTGGTCTGAAAGTTTGTCCGCCATGCAGCTCGTCGGTTTACTCTTGCGTTTGAGTTTACATGTTCACCGCAGTCCTGCCAAAACCAATCCTACGGCGTGTTTGCTTAAAGAGCCTCGGGATTAAGATTAAGTGTTATCCACGTAAATTATAAGTAGCATTATTAGCTTTGTGTTGATAAAAGGTTAATATTTACGGAGAAAAACCTCTCCCGTTGCATGTTTCGCACCTAAACTTGTTCTTTATAACGGGTAGTATATTTCGTTCGACTGTCAGAGATTCCACTGATACAAAAGCTGGTCAACATAACGAAATCAGTCGGCCTTCAGTTGCAAGGCCAGCTTCACCAAAAAATGATTTCATATTTACTAACTTAATGGTTGCCTTTGTCCCCTTATTTTGGCTTTCACGGTCCCCATGACCCTGATATGAAAAAGCAATGAAAAGCACCGAAGCCTTGACCTTGGCTACAACGAAAATTGGAGGGAAATTTACCGTGCGTGACTGAATCGCTGCATTGTTGATCAGTTGTTAATTCTGTAGTCTACATAAACTGTAATTCGAGTTCTTAGTCAGTGAAGAACTGCTGTTCATTTGCCAAAACTAACTTTTAAATTTTAACTTAATTTGAATTCTTAGCTTACTCTTCCGTAGTCCTTCAGTGCCTTACAAGCTATAAGCAACTCATCACTTACGTAACAAGGGTGATCGTGCCTCATCATGCATTGAGTTAAACGAATGGACTTTCTTATTTAAGAAAATATTTTTATGTTCAGTGTATTCTTTTAACACGCGTACGATTAATTTTTGTATTCCAATGGGTCTATGGTATATCAGGTGAGCCCTTCCCACACCCTCTATATACCATATACGGCGGTGATTTCCTTTGCTATAAATAAACTGACACCAAACAATAAACAATGATATCAAAATTCGTGCAACATAATCCAACAAAATTATTCAATCTTTCTTCAACCCACTTACGCGTTTCATGATTATTTCCCTATTTCGTTTTCATTTTTAGGCCTTCATTTGGAGCTGAAATATCAAGAGTTTCCTGCAGTCGGTGACAGTGACATTTAACTACAAGAACTAACAGGGAAGCTTATAAAATGTGTGATAAATTGAAGCACAAGATCGTTAAAAGCGGAGCAAAACCAGATAAAGTCACGACAGTCGGACTTCATGTAGACGAAGATTGTCCTGATGGCGGGTACGGTTGGATCATTTGTATGGCTGCTGCCATCATTCAGTTCATTATCCTGGGTATTCATAACAACTTTGGAATTCTCTACACCTCTTTGATAAGCGATCTTCATTTTAAACCTTCAGATGCAGGTAAAAATTTCAATTTTCAAAGATTTACAGGGGAACTGACTGATTAGTTGTTCAAAAATTTTGTCGAGTAATCCGGGTTATGATTGCACTCAAAACAAAAATTATTCTGCGCCTTCGAGACGAAGGGCTCTCTTCTCTTTTATATATTATTTTCAATACTATATTTGCGTCGTACGCGAATGAACTTGTTCATCAAGGGAAAGTCTGTCTGTACGGGGCGCCAAGAGCGAATGAATTATTAAGCCGTTTTTATTTACATCTATCGAAAGAGTCAACTCGAAGATTTTTCTATCATAGTTAGAAAAATGTTGTCGTTTAGGAAAGGAAATAAATTGAAGTAGAAAAGGGGTTGCACATTTTTTTTTCTACATGGTGATCCGTTATTTGAGACCTCTAGTGAATATAAATTTTCTACTTACGTAACATATTAATAAGTTACTTGTATCGTCGGGAAAACCCTATGCCCAGTAGAGATAAACGCTCAGGTGGCGTGATCAATGTATATTCCACATTCGCTACCTCTGCCTTCTTCTTAGGCCTCTCAGGGTATACAAGGCAATATTTGTTATCTACCATAGATTCTTAAGTGGCTTTACTTCATTTCAATTTATCGGTGAACTGCAATTTGCAAGAAAAACAAAGGTCGCAACAACTCGTGATTTCTTTAAGGTCTCAAAGTCGGTAAATCTGGTTAGTGCTTTTTTGCAGTCACGACTGAAAGGATATGCTTGAATTTCGGTGATTGACCTGACTTGTTAATTACCATATTCGCCATATCCAATTGAATTTTAACGGGAAAGAGTATAGAGCAATGTTTAATTTTGAAAATTCTTCGGTCCAGACTTGGATGAAGAGGCCGGTCATGCGCGATCCAACGTCATTGATCAGTTTTCTTGTGAAAGTTTACTCGACTCGAATGTTCTGTGTTAGGGCCAAGTTGCTGAGTCACTACAGTCATGTGCCATGTTTTGGTTTGATCTGACTAGCATAACCCCACAATTATTTTCAAAACTGTGCGCCAATTTAGACAAATGAAGTGAAACAATCATTTTTGCCGTCGTTCGTGAAGATTGGCTGCGTGTATTGGAAGAACTTAGGCATAAAGCAACGAAGGATAAAAGGTTTAAGTGCGCAGTCTGTGCGGATTAAAGAGTCACCGCGCTAATAACACTTCACTCCCTACTCTTTAGCTTGGGTTGGTTCCATTGCGTTTGGGATGAACTTCCTCTGTGGTCCAATCACCAGCAGCTTATGTCAGAGATACGGCATTCGTTTGGTGGCGGCGGCTGGAGGTTTAATTGCTTCCCTGGGCCTCTTCCTAACGTCATTCACTAACAGCCTCTACGTCATTTACCTCACTTACAGTTTCCTTTGGGGCTTTGGCTCCAGTCTAAACTATGCTCCAACTATGCTTGTATTGGGTAAGTAAGAGATCTGTGGCTCAAATGAAAGTTTTTACATGAGAAAGCCAACAACAGGCACTGCATCGCTGCATTCTCTTTTCACAACTGTTTACTTTCATAAGAGGCCATGAAATCGAAAGGTTGGAGATAGGATAGTCTGAAAGCTTTCTTCATTTTCTATTTACTTCTCCAGGTCAATATTTCAAAAGGTATCTTCCATTAGCAAACGGAATAGTTACAGCTGGAAGTGGTGTCGGCACCTTAGCAATGGGACCATTGTTTCATGTCATTCTCTCATCAATGGGCTGGAAAAAAATGCTCAGGATTTTCTCTTGTTTAGGAATTGTCATGTTCATATGCGCTCTGCTTTACCGTCCCCTCCCTGCTAAGTATAAACGTGCTCAAAAACAGCCTGAAAAGAAGACAAAGTTGTTTGACTTTTCTGTGTGGAAAATGAAGTCATTTGTGTTCTGGGTGATCTCCATGTCTCTCTTGTTTATTGGCTATTTTGTTCCGTTTATTCATTTGGTAAGTTCGGCAATTTTTATTATAATAAAATCTTATAGTTGAATCTATTTCAACAGCAATTCAGATGATGCAAAGGTCTTTACTTGCGTAGGGGTTTCATTGTTTCACTGAAGTGAAACCTTAAGAGACTTCGAGATTCTGAAGCTGATGAAAGAACCTTTTTATCGTGCTCTTGATTTGTTGCTCGTGCTAACTTTCATCATTTATTTTGAATAACGCTGAATTACAGTGGTTTAGGTTAAGCGATAAAAGGGAACTCGGTAACCGCATATTGACTCAAATAATTCGAATGATCATTTCCTTAGAAGGTCAAATACAAATTTAAATCATACAACAGTGTGACAAACAAAAACAGAAAGCTTAAACCGATCGGACTATTTTGCTTAAAACAGCAATTGTATGTGTAAGTTTTGCAGTGAGAAGAATTCCATTCAGTCTACTTGGGCTTAATACTTTGACACTTAAACAAACATTCTACGTTTCTTTCTTTAAGCCCAATCACGCAAAAAATCTTGGAGTGCCTGGCTATCAGTCCTCTCTTCTGGTCGGTTATTTGTCTGTCGCCTCTACCGTATCACGGGTTCTATTTGGTCTTATTCTTAATCATCCCAGAGTGAACCGCTTTTACGTGTTACAGGTATTACTTGCACATCTCTCTTTTATTTTAATTTTCAGCAGCACACTTTCGATTAATTTGGACGGTATCCAGGGTACTGGATCGAGCCCATGAACTCGACGCTAGCTCGAGTTCTTGAGTTCAACTCTTGCTAGTTGATACCAAATTTAAACATCTGAATGAAATATTTTATTCTCTTTAAGCTCTGTTTCCTCATGATGTCAGTGACCACCACTTTATGTCCCCTTGCACGAGATTATACTGGTCTCATTCTCTATGCAGTAGGATTTGGAGCATTTGATGGTTGCTTCGTTCTGTTGATTGCTATCACTACAAGTGATATAGTTGGAGCTGGAAAACTCCCTGAAGCTTTAGGAGGCTTATATGGGGTTATCGCCATTCCCATGATATGTGGTTCGCCGCTTGCAGGTTTGTAGATGTTACTCATAGGGGAGGGAGGGTAATGGATAACAGGAACACTTATGTGGCATTTATGCCGGTTTGTTACTAATAGGGGAGAGAGGGTGGATTATAGGAACACATATGTGGCATTTATGTGGGTTTGTTACTAATAGGGGAGGGGGGATGGATTATAGGAACACATATGTGGCATTTATGTGGGTTTGTTACTAATAGGGGAGGGGGGATGGATTATAGGAACACATATGTGGCATTTATGTGGGTTTGTTACTAATAGGGGAGGGGGGATGGATTATAGGAACACATATGTGGCATTTATGTGGGTTTGTTACTAATAGGGGAGAGAGGGTGGATTATAGGAACACATATGTGGCATTTATGTGGGTTTGTTACTAATAGGGGAGGGGGGATGGATTATAGGAACACATATGTGACATTTATGTGGGTTTGTTACTAATAGGGGAGGGGGGGTGGATTATAGGAACACAAACGTGGCATTTATGTGGGTTTGTTACTAATAGGGGAGGGGGGTGGATTATAGGAACACATATGTGGGTTTGTTACTAATAGGGGGGGAGGGGGGTGGATTATAGGAACACACATTTATGTGGGTTTGTTACTAATAGGGGAGGGGGTGATGTGGGTTTGATTATAGGAACACATATGTGGCATTTATGTGGGTTTGTTACTAATAGGGGAGGGGGGGATGGATTATAGGAACACATATGTGGCATTTATGTGGGTTTGTTACTAATAGGGGAGGGGGGATGGATTATAGGAACACATATGTGGCATTTATGTGGGTTTGTTACTAATAGGGGAGGGGGGGATGGATTATAGGAACACATATGTGATGTGTTATATTTATAGGGGTTTGTTACTAATAGGGGAGGGGGGATGGATTATAGGAACACATATGTGGCATTTATGTGGGTTTGTTACTAATAGGGGAGGGGGGATGGATTATAGGAACACATATGTGGTATTTATGTGGGTTTGTTACTAATAGGGGAGGGGGGGATGGATTATAGGAACACTTATGTGGTATTTATGTGGGTTTGTTACTAATAGGGGAGGGGGGGTGGATTATAGGAACACATATGTGGCATTTATGTGGGTTTGTTACTAATAGGGGAGGGGGGATGGATTATAGGAACACATATGTGGCATTTATGTGGGTTTGTTACTAATAGGGGAGGGGGGATGGATTATAGGAACACATATGTGGTATTTATGTGGGTTTGTTACTAATAGGGGAGGGGGGATGGATTATAGGAACACATATGTGGCATTTATGTGGGTTTGTTACTAATAGGGGAGGGACATTTATGTGGGTTTGTTACTAATAGGGGAGGGGGGATATTATAGGAACACATATGTGGTATTTATGTGGTTTGTTACTAATAGGGGAGGGGGGATGGATTATAGGAAGACATGTGGCATTTATGTGGGTTTGTTACTAATAGGGGAGGGGGGATGGATTATAGGAACACATATGTGGCATTTATGTGGGTTTGTTACTAATAGGGGAGGGGGGGATGGATTATAGGAACACATATGTGGCATTTATGTGGGTTTGTTACTAATAGGGGAGGGGGGATGGATTATAGGAACACATATGTGACATTTATGTGGGTTTGTTACTAATAGGGGAGGGGGGGATGGATTATAGGAACACATATGTGGCATTTATGTGGGTTTGTTACTAATAGGGGAGGGGGGGATGGATTATAGGAACACATATGTGACATTTATGTGGGTTTGTTACTAATAGGGGAGGGGGGATGGATTATAGGAACACATATGTGGCATTTATGTGGGTTTGTTACTAATAGGGGAGGGGGATGGATTATAGGAACACATATGTGGCATTTATGTGGGTTTGTTACTAATAGGGGAGGGGGGGATGGATTATAGGAACACATATGTGGCATTTATGTGGGTTTGTTACTAATAGGGAAGGGGGGGTTGGATTATAGGAACACATATGTGGCATTTATGTGGGTTTGTTACTAATAGGGGAGGGGGGATGGATTATAGGAACACATATGTGGCATTTATGTGGGTTTGTTACTAATAGGGGAGGGGGGATGGATTATAGGAACACATATGTGACATTTATGTGGGTTTGTTACTAATAGGGGAGGGGGGGATGGATTATAGGAAGACATATGTGGCATTTATGTGGGTTTGTTACTAATAGGGGAGGGGGGATGGATTATAGGAACACATATGTGGTATTTATGTGGGTTTGTTACTAATAGGGGAGGGGGGGATGGATTATAGGAACACATATGTGGTATTTATGTGGGTTTGTTACTAATAGGGGAGGGGGGATGGATTATAGGAACACATATGTGGAATTAATGTGGGCTTGTTACTAATAGGGGAGGGGGGATGGATTATAGAAACACATATGTGGAATTAATGTGGGCTTGTTACTAATAGGGGAGGGGGGATGGATTATAGGAACACATATGTGGAATTAATGTGGGCTTGTTACTAATAGGGGAGGGGGGGGATGGATTATAGGAACACATATGTGGAATTAATGTGGGCTTGTTACTAATAGGGGAGGGGGGATGGATTATAGGAACACATATGTGGAATTAATGTGGGCTTGTTACTAATAGGGGAGGGGGGATGGATTATAAGAACACGTATGTGGAATTAATGTGGGCTTGTTACTAATAGGGGAGGGGGGATGGATTATAGGAACACATATGTGGAATTTATGTGGGCTTGTTACTAATAGGGGAGGGGGGATGGATTATAGGAACACATATGTGGCATTTATGTGGGTGCGGTGGAATGTCCTAAAGAAACTTGAAGTGTTATTGGGTTCCATTTCAGCCAAGTTTCGGAATTTTCTTCTGCAAAATCTCTTGCACCATCATTTCTCACTATTTGCAAAATATTTGCATTAGTTTCGATCTTTCTTTTTTCTTTGAAACTTTCATTTCCACGGTTACTCTAATGGACTACTCTAATGGACTACTCTAATGGGCAGCGAACCCGACATGTTAGAACTTTTTGGGAAGTTACTTTTTGAATCTTACAATTTTTTTGTTCGTTTCTTTCCAAGGGTTAATTTTCCAAGTAACTGGCTCATATCAGAATGCTTTCTTCGTTGCTGGTGGAGCAATAGCGTTAGGTACTTGTACCTTGTCTCTAATCCCACTCTTTATGACGCGGGACGTACATGAAGAGATACCTACTGTTCGTGTCGAGCTTTGTGCAGATCATTTAGATAAAGAAGACAAAAGTCAAGACATTCTGAACGTAGTTTATCACTCTTCGGGAAAACAAAGGAACTCTGGTTTTCTTTACGACACGAGTAATTTTGCACTCAGGCGCTCTTTGTCGTGCTTGGCTCTTAGCAGGATCGGGGAATCCGTCTGTGGAACACAGTGTATATTGGAAATGCTTGAAAGAGAGTCCAATGTATAACGAACAATGTATTCGTCTTTTGATTCAACATTCAGTCACCATCAACCTCAGGAGTAATTAAGTATCGATCGGGAACGCGTGCGCTGAATCTACAACGCCATTTTTACAATTCGTTGATTCGCAAAATGTAAGGGGAATTCTCAAGATTTTAACATGCATATAGGAGCTACGTAAATGTTTATATTTCATGTTGAAAAAGTTACTTATTACACCCTAGTAGGGTAAAATGAAAAAAAAATTTACAAACAAACATAATGCATGCGTTACAACTGGTTTGAAACTTTTGATCTGACGTTTAGTATTTAACACAACACAACTTTAAAACAGTGGTCACACGTGTGCAAAAAGATTTAATTACTGGCTTTAAAGTGATCTGCGGGTAACAGGGAAACCGGTACTTCGATTTTGTAGATGAAATCTGTAGGATGATCTTTCGTCGATCGGTGAAATAACTTGCTGACCACTTGGCCGAGGGGAATTGGGTTCAAGGGGCGGCGAGTCTTTCCAATTCGGGACGAATTTGAGCATATCGTTAAGAAGATTAGGTGGGTGTTTAACGTTGAAACTTTATAACTTTCTGATTAGCCAGAGAAAATAAAAGACAGCCACTAAGAGTAAAGAAAGCATTCATTTCCATGATTCAACGGCAAACAGACTTTAAAATTTTTCTTGGCAACATTCTATAAGCTCTTATTGTTTTCCGGCAAGTCCCTCCCTGGACAACTGGAATCTACTAAAAAGCAATGGTTCCCTCAAAAAGGGAACTGTAGCTATAAGGGCTAATCTAAGCCACTGAAGCATAATAAAAACAGTTTCCTGGTGCTATCCTAAACTTTCTCTCTATCTAAGACTTGCGCTTTGAAGTGTCATTATCCCCATAAACGTGATAATTAAACCAAATTGTTACGAAAAATTATTGTAACTGGTTGACCTCCTCAATAGAAAGTGCATCCTACAAATGATGATTACGTCTGCCAACTGCTCCTGCAAAGAATTTTAATCGGATATCATTGGTAAGTGAAGGAGTTAGTGCACGGCTTTCACAGGCTCAGTAACACACAGGCTCATTACTTAGGCTCATTGCTTAAAGCTGTTTCAAGTCATTTTCCCGAATTCCACCAGATTTTAGTTTTGGCCTTCTGCATTGCATAGAAATGATTTAATGGTCTAACAAACTTTACAAACTAGTATCATGATAACAGGTAATTTGATTCTTGCTCGTTTTTGGTTTTTATCAACTATGATAATATAAGAGCGCAAAAATTTACCCCTCAGCGAGTATTAGCCTTCCAACACTAAAAGTTTCCTCCCGTACTAGTTTATGTCGTGTTAATCAAGGATGCTTGATTATTTACCTCTTTTTTCTCGCTTTTCGGCAGTATTTTGTTTAGTGATGATCCTTTTCCACAGTGCAGGGTATTTGCCGTCCTTTTCTCGCATACACGAAACTCCACAACATGGTTCCTGGCCTTGTTCTTTCAGATAGTTCTGTACAAAAGAAATTAAATAAAGAGATGGCATCTTATACATAAGTCCATCACCTTACTTTTATGTCACTCCCGATATCAGAAAACTTACAATGAACTAGAGATAGCTCATTGCGTCTGGGTGCAAATTCAACTCACGGAGGCAACCACCACGTGTAGATATTATTCATTTCCCGCGAAACATCCAAGAAAAACGGTGCTTCGAATATGTCTAAATTCTGGAGACCAGATACTTTGCGTCAGTAACCGTCAGGACCCAATCGCAAGGTACAACTATCTCGCATAAGACAAATTTTTCTTACAACTTTTTCGGAGGAAGAGACAGAGAAATTAATTTCACCGCGGAGTGAGGAAAAAGTCCTGTTCAATAGCCAGTACAAGAACTATTTTAAAAGGGATTTAAGACAAAATTCGACCAATCACATTTAGGCTCATGGAAAGCTACTGTTGCTTGTTGTCAGCAATGCATGGCAAGTTTCCTTTAGCTCATTTCATTCATGCATTCGTCCATTCATAATTACTAACTTACTTGTGCATAAGAAAGAGCATTTTGTTTTTCGCGAGAACTGGCATTTTTCCCAATCCACACAAACAAACGATCAGGTGCCTCGAGCAGAAATACTGTGAATGAAAACATAACAGTTTGTAATTAACAAGGGTATTATGTAGGAGGCGAATGAGCTACTCTAAAGACATGCAAAATTTTTAAATGAATACAATTCAAATACAATTCATATTTTAACTTATAAGCTTCTCCATAACCTGGACAAAGGCCAGTTCACAGGAATGGTATATTTAGATCTGTTTAAAGCATTTGACACTATAGATCATGGCATTATGCTGCATAAATTGCTTTCCCTCGGTTTTTCTAATTGTTCGGTCGTATAGTTAAAAACTTATCTGTCAAACCGGACTCAAAGTATTTGTGTTAATAGGGTTCTTTCTGAACCCCAGTGAAACTCAACTTTATGCGGATGACACTCTGCTTTTCTTTAATGGTAGTTCCATCAGAGAAATCGAGTCTTACCTTTCTGCCGATCTAAGAAACATCATAAGCTGGCTACATAGTAACTATCTGTTTCTTAACTACTCTAAAACAAAAGTAATACTTGTGGGAAAACATCAAAGGCTCTCGAGAGTTGCTATTTTTAGCGTTTCAGCTTTTGACAAGACCTTTAAAATAGGGTCTACCAGTTCAAGTATCTCAGTGTCATGCTCGATCCAGGCCTCTCTTGGAGTGATCACATCGACCATATTGCCTCCAAAATATCTGCCAGGCTGGGCATGCTGCGGAAAGCCTGCAAAGTCATTCCTCGAGAGGCCTGTATCACACACTATGACTCCATGATACTTCCACTGTTCGACTAAAGCTGTGTAGTCTGGGATGGCTGCAGAAAAACAAATCGGGACCACTGGACAGATTGCAACTGCGAGCACCTCGTATCATCGAAGGGCGTAAAGGAGAAAATACAGGCAGTACTTTTAGCTGGCCTTCCTTAGAAAATCGCAGGAAATATCACACTTGCCTGCAACTTTTTAAGTGCCTACACGGTCTCGTTTTCGGCTATCTTTTGAATAAAACTGGTTTTTCCCGCCGATATCATGCCTACAATACCAGATATAGAGACCTTTTGCTATTACCCCTGCATGGCATAACATCTAAATGTCAAGGTTCCTTTCGCTACAAAGGTGCAAAGGCAAGAAATACTCTAACTAGTAAACTGCGAAACAACTTCTCTACCTAATTTTGAGAAACATCATTATTGATGTAGTATTCTTTGTAATGTAACGTATATTGTATATCTTATGTGTAAATTATCTGTGTTGTAGGCTCCCTTTGTATTTTATATTTCTAAAAAAATTTTGTTCTATGTCTTAAGCAGGCCCCCATTCAAACCAGCTTGAAGCTGAACTGGGCCAGCCTGCATAAATATCGCTGATAAATAAATAAATAAATATAAATAAATAAAGATATATAAATAAATAAACCACTGCTTTTATGAGCTTAAAAGAAAACAACAAACCATCATCGCTGTCCAGTAAATCTTCACTGATATTTTCGATTCCCTCAGCCACAACTCGAAACTCTGCTTTACTTTTATCGGTGAGGACTCTGAAAAAGGCCAAGGTCGTTACAATTTAGCAAGATATACTTCAAATATTTTGTATGTGCCAAACACCTTTCTAAATGTGCACCGGGCCTGATATTAAACATTGAATGCTTTACAAGGTTACAGAGAGTCAGTTAACGATGCAAAGCGGCTGGCACCCTCGGCCAATAATCGTGTTTGAATAAGTAAGTTAAGGTTTCCTCTGGATTTTGTGAATTCTTCTTCCATCTTTTACTTACTGCGTTTTATCCAAAAGGGGATTATTTGAGTTATATCGCGAACGCTACTTTGTAACCTATTTTGGCATATGTTCATTATCCTTTTGGATTAACTATATTATTGAATGGTGCAAATTATGCAGCTCTCCTTTGCAAATAAAATTGTGCTTTTATTTGCTGCCTGAAGCTAAAATCATTGGTCTAATAAGCATCTACCACTGATTTTCAACATCCTAAATGTTGATTTTTGAGCCGTAGAATAAAAAGTTATTAATAGTGTAACCTGATCAACTTCACCACAAAATCGGCTGGAGCATTCTGTAGAAAAAAAAAAGAAAAATTAGATTCAGTGATGTAATGAACTTTCCAAACGTTGCTGTTAAATTTTTTAGATTCATGTAGCTTGGTAAGAGGTTCAGAATCAGCAAAATAACTTATTTAAAAAGCTTGTCTTACAAAATTTACTTTCGTTCTGTGAAGGATGGATCCTAAATTTACTTCAACTAGTCACTGACTGTCTTCTATTTGATATGATTGATTGTCAAAGCTCCCAAGCAAGGCAGACAATGCACAAAGGCCAAAACTGTCACATTCGTCTTCACAGAAAAAGAAGTGAATGAAGTGAAATAAAGTGAAGCACATTACTGATTAGTAGCTATGGACAGCTTAGTTCCAAACTTTTAAGTGTTTTTTTCGCATAGCATAGCCTTAAAATGAAGTCTGAAGGGTGTGTTTCCATCATGAAAATATAACCCTCTTGAGTTATTAATTGTAGAAGAAGCCTGTGCTCAGGCAGGCGTGCTTTTGAAGGGAAATGAAATACTGACCCTAAACATGAAACTAAATCGTGAGAGCTTGTACTCAGAATGGAGATAAAAAAAACATTATCATCATCATAATTAGTGACAAAACAAATCATTGTTAGTGATAATAAGTTCCTGTTAGAGAGTAAAAAACTCTTAAAAATAGTCGGCGAAAAAACAATTGTTTGGTACCTTGTAAACTTCAGTGCCAAAAAGCTCGTTCAGACTCTCTGAAAGAAAGAAAATTATTTTTGCTGGTCAAAAATGAGTGAGACATTACTGACTTCTTTCGTTAACACAACACTGGTAGTTGAGACCAATAGGCAAAAAAATAGTGGCAATTTTACTAATACCACACTTAAGCTAAGGTTTTTATAGCAGACGTTATGCTTGAGCTTTTAGACATCAACTACCAACTTGCTTTTAAATGCATTTTGGCTGACTGTGGTAACCTCAAAGGCCAATAAAAATGGAAAAGTGTCAAACACGACTAGGTTTGCCTCTGATTAGTAAAGAAGGAGGCCACATTTTTTCGGTCAATTAAAATAAACCAATGTGACACAGAGCCAATTCCAGCAATCATAGATTACTTTCCACTTTAACTGAAAATTTCCTTTGATATTATGATTAATCATCTTCCTTTAAGAAATTAACGTGGGTTTTAGCTTAGAGAAAGTGCTGTTTATAAAAATATTTGTTTTGATAGCATTCTTCCTTTAAGGAGAATAGACATGAGAAGGTAACCGTGTACTTGGGGCGTGAAAGTTGAAAAAGATGAAACTTACCATAAACTTGTAGCTTAGCTCTTGGATGCTCATGCTAAGGAAGGGAAAAGAATAATCAGGAATCACTTTAATCCTTTGAAATCAAATGACAATCCGTGATTGAATGGTCAACTTGTTTTTTCATCTTTTTGGTCATACCTTTTGAACAGACATCCACTCATTGAATGGGCAAATGGAATCAATTTTGGCATTTTTGCCCTTGACCTGTGAAAAAATTGACAAAAGAACAAATAGGAGATTCAAGTACAAGGCGTGCTGCTATAATTCCACTTGAGGGCTAAAATAGTATAACTATTTATGTGTCTGCAGAGTTCTTTTCAGCCACATGGAATTGTGACTAAAAGCCTGAATTCTCCTCAATTGTTATTATGAAATAGAACACTTTGTATTCATGAAATTTAAATAATTTTGAGGAAAGTGCTAACTATTTACAGTGGTTCCCTTGTGGAGAAAAGGACATATTTTTATTTAAGATATCAGTAAGATTACCTGATACATTTTGTCTTCTGAGAAGATCACCACATACCCATCATCACAACACAGATTCTTTTGAGTGTATGGCATATCCACCGCGTGATACTCCATCTTCTAATGTTTTCACACAAAAAAAAGAACACGGTGTCATTTCAGATCGGTAATAGACATAGAATATTCCTGCATGTTGGAAAGATTATATTGTAACCCGGTGGGAGGTTTTGATAAGGAATCACCCTTTTCTATATAACTGAGACACCAATTGATTGATTTTCACCGAGGAACGCAAATTAAAAGTTTAAGGGAAAAAAACTGGTTCAGTTTACTTGAAAACAGGAGACGAAACATTAAAAAGCTTGATGACTTCAATTAGCAGAAGTTTTCTTACCCCTTCCTTGTTTGGTATTTTCTTAAAATGTTTCAAAAGGTTCCTCGTGAAAGGTAGTCTTTCTTCGCTTGGCACTACATGGTTAAATCCGGAATCAATTCTGTAAAAGAATAATCACAAATTTCAACGTTCTCCTATGATATCCCGATCACTAATAACTGAAAGATTATCTGAAATGTCAGCACTCAGAGCTTCTTGTCATTCGTGACCGGAGCCAAATCAGTTTGCGCGGCACAAAACTCGCGCCGTTTCGGTCACATGACCATATAGTGCAGAACTTACGCAATAAGTTCGATTTGCGTATAAATTTACAGATAGATTGTGCGTCGGACTCTTTCATCTCCATACCAGTCAAAGTGCTGGAAAAGTTGAATAATATTTTGTCTTTTTTTCTTTTCTCACTTTAGTTCGTTTCCATTGTAACTGTGTTTGTATTTTTTCATTGTTTTACATGTAGCATTGAATGACGAGTCTTTATTTTCATTTCATTTTAATTTCACGGTTTACGTTTTTTTGCAGTTACGACTTGCAACTATAACTTAAGTGGTTCTTTAAATTGATGTAATAGCAGTTTGATAGGACCTAGAAATATACCAAATTTCAACACTGTCATCAGCGTAATATTATAATGATAACTTTCAATTCTCTGTGTATCTAAGATATCTCTTTCCCTTCAAAGTTTGGCTCGGGCTTCAACAGGATATGGAGTTGTTGATATTGCTTTATCCACTTACCCGCCCTCCTCAATGGTGATTTTTCCACCAAAATAACCAAGAAATTCTTCTGACTCTTTTCCACCAACTTCACGATGCTGAATAGCTTTGTCATCCAGCTAAAGAAAAAATAGATCAAAGGTGAATATTTGTGCTCGTGATAAAAGCTAACTTAATTAATTGAGCGCCCCGTTTTTGCTAGTCTCAAATATATTGGAGGCCATCTTAACGCACGCCCCTCACCAAAACTCAGTAGGAACTCTCATACAGACTCTCTATCTTCACTTTCCCGTCAGTAGCCAGACACTTTTAGGGTTCAGATGTTTCTTTTGCGATTAAGTTTCCGTAAAACGACATCTGTATGGAAATCTCATCGGCAACCTCATCATTTTCGAGCAATTAAAACAAGCCACGGTAAACTGGTTGGAATGCCAAAGTTTTGTTTCTGTTTTTGGTGCTATGCTTTTTTTTTGGCCATTATACACGCTCGTTTGCCTTAAAGAGCACTATTTAGCTGAGATATCTCTTGACGAAAGCTTTTAATCAGTAGTAATTATCTTACATATGTGTCCAGCTCTAAAGTTTTGTAAGCTGCAGCCCCATATTCATCTTGGGTGGAGGAACCGCCAATCCAGAAATGAACATCGAAGTCTAACTCCTAAAGAGAGGGAAATATTAAACTGGTAAAAAAGTTGCAAAGTGCATAAACCATAAGTTGCGCGCAAGTTTACACTTTTTAAAAAACCCACACAATTCATAAAACGAAGAAAGGTCTGAAAGATAATTGTTGACAAACGGTTTCTCTCCTTTATAGTGATTTTCATCTATCATATTTTGTAACTTATGTAACAGCGACCAAAATTCATTGTTGTAATATGTTGATAAGACCTTGTATTAACACTCCGAAAGCGAGCTGGTTACTTCTAGATAAGATAAGTTAACGCACATTTGAGTCTGGATCCTTTTCACTGTGAAGAATTATGTAAGAATCACCGTCGAAAAATTTTCCATATTCTGACTTTGGCCAGTCTTTGACCTGCGCATTAAGAAAAAAACAGAATAGGTAAGGCTAGAGAAATAAAATTAACCCTGCGACATCCCTGTTCAAATTCTTCTTACTGGTCTGCATACGTTTATCAAAAATAGCCGTTTTGAAAATATGTTAACGATCAGGGTAAGTGTTCTTTGGTGATCAGTTCAACCAAATCAGAAGTTCAACCGGTCTCTGTAACACGTTGCAATGATCAGATGTAGCAACATTTCGTCCCTTACTGCAGACTTGTCAAGCATGCTTTCTTGTTTTATTCATCAAAATTACATTTTTTAAGAGTCTTGGAAAATTGAGTTTTCAAGACGGCGACAATAAAGAGAGGTGATTTATTCTAACAAGAAATCCCCACCAAATATGGTAATTTGTTTTTTTGACTTTTGAAAGAAAAAAACCCTTGTTTGCGATGGCTTCAAAGAAGGACGCCACAGGAAGTCTCTCTGCTCGTAGGAGATTTTTATATTTTTCCTTTTATGGTGCAAATCAGAGAAATGTTGAGAAACTTCTAAAAATACTTGAATAGTTTCTAAATTTTGATTCAGTGGAATAAAAAGAAAATAAAAGATTTATCTTGCTCTTAAGAAATTGGTGATGATTTTCGCACGCTATTACATTTTTAACGTAGTTAGAATTGAATCACGTTTGAGTAATCACGAGATCTTGACTGAAACTGCAATTGAAACAAGCTGTCATAATACGAGTGCAAATTGTAGAAAAATTATTGTCACCTTAAACTTTTCAATCCTCCAGATTTTTGTACCTTCGAAATTTTCACATCCTGTCCATGCCGGCTCTTTCATGGCAGCAGATTTTTTTAACTACATAAAAACAAGAATCATCGTTATAGATGTTATTTGTGATATACTGAGGATTTCTCGCATTTCAAACTTTAATAACTTTTTTGCTCTTGTAAGAGAACTCACCTTTTTCTCTTCGTCGCTACCAAACATGGCAAGGTTAGAATCTTTCCAGTCATATTGCTTTGGTTTCACCAAGCCACTCATGATTGTTTTTAATCACTGAAAAACCTTTGCAACGCGATCAATAAAGGAAGTTTTCCACGGCGGCAGATAGTTAATGGCTGCACCTAGCTTATAAACTTCTCAATATGCATAAGATATGCTAGTCACCTGACGGATCATCTCACCACCTGCTGTAATCTGGGCTGTGATTGGCCTTGCGGTGTATTTGTACCGTAACCTTGGTTAAACGCTATTGTTTTTTATCTTTGACTTTTTTGTTTATTTAACCATATATGTTTTGAATATTTTATTTCAGCACCTGGTGTCTGGGATTCGTAGAGTTGCCCCTCATGGCGGAAGGTTCTAGATCCCGCATGAAACCGATTGAGGCCAGTCAACGTAACAAAACTTTAGGAGAAAGTCGAGAACCCTGATAATCTGGGTGGCAGTCTTTACACGAAAAGCTCGCGGAATTTCGAGTGGACAAGGTTAAAGTAATATTTCCACTTACTCAACTGTTTTAAATGAACTTAATGCGATTTATACACCTTAAAATAGATTCACATTCGAGTTTGTGGGTATTTTCTATTTTATGAACGCAATTCATAACAGTTGTAATTGTGGTATACCGAATGGTGATGGGTGAAAATCAAGCATCTTATTTTTGATTTTTCATCTTTCCCAAGAAATATGTATCATAAACGTGTGTCAGTAGTAAGGGACAGAGGAAAAATCGGAATCTCCCGGGAGCATTCGAGCCTCACCGAGCCAGTTTTGTTATCGCACTCGGATACGGGTCCAATTTTATTACATACTTATGCCGTTTGGTGTTGGGGGCATGTTCATCGGTCTGGAAAGCCAAAATTTTCTCCAATAGATTGCCGAATTCTCCCCCTTGCTCAGATATGTAAAGTTTAGAACATACTTTGACGAACTCCCCTAACTTCTGAGACTGAGCCTCACTCCCCAACACGCCCGCCATTTTGTTGAAACAACCAAAAACTTGCTAAATGCAGAGTATTTCTCAAGTAACGTGGCCGAAAAAACCAAACAGAACGAAAAGAAGTATTTCCCGCTGATTTCCCAAAAGGCGTTCACGGCGAGAAACTTCTACAAGAAGTCTGAAGTCCCTTGAAATGGCAAAATACGGGAACATGTCTTGTGACTAAGCCTGTGTCGAGTAACTTTTGGTCTCGAAAACATTTTTAGGGCACAGTTTTATGATGTATTGCTATGGACAAGTTTTAACCAGCATCCATTTGCCTGAGAGTCATTTTGACTAGTTCAGCCTCTACTTGCCCGCAGGACGTAGAGAGGTTATAATCCACCAGCTCGATGGTAAAATCTTTTAGCGTCGAGCAATCGGACTTGACAGCTGTCTACAAATCATGGAATAGTAGCTTTTTTATACGTCCAAAAGCGGGGCTCTAAAAATGAAAAAGTCTCTTTAGGTTTAATGCTTTTATTGTTCTCAACTTCTAGACAAAACTTCTCATTGGTCTGTAAACCTGCATTATTAAAACAAAGCAGTTTGCCTTTTACTATGATATTGAAATTCAAGGAGTTCCTAGAATTGCATTGCATAAGTGGAAGAAACAATGGATTTTTCTTTATTTGGAATCTAAACTAATCTTGTGAATAATCTTCGAGGACTTGCTTTGATACGACGGTTGAATCTGAAAAAAATGATGATTCAATCAGAAATAATGTTAGCTCGTTTGCATTTACGGAATATGCCGCCCTTTTTTTTATTTAACACGAATTCTTCAAATCAGTTTTACACGTCACATCACGTCGTCAGGTGAGGTTATGAAACAATCACGAACGTAATTGGAGGAGAGTGCATCTGGTGAGTATGACCATAGAAAGCTTTACATCTCGGGACTAGCACTTAAAACGGTATCATCTAAAAACCTCTTTCGTAATAAAGTAAGGTTTCTCGTAGACTGAGATAAGTTGCGCATGTCTAATACCTCGATGGAAGGAAATGAGTTAACAATCTCTCCTCATGCAAACAGTGTATCAGATCGCTAACAGATACCCCAGAGTGTGATTGTGCAATGATGCTACCTTTCTTGTGTCAGTGCAAGTCAAAGTTATTGCTTACCTATGAGCTTATTGCGCCATTCAATTGAGTGGACAGTTGTCCTTCCTTGACCACAGTGACGGCAATAGTGGGATGCTGGTCCACATCTGGGCACTGCTTAAGGTAGTGCTGTTAATGAATCAAAATGTTTCACTTGAGTTCCTTACATTGCTGACCTTTTCACTTTTCTTTTACCTTTCATAAAATTATCATTTCAGCCCAACGAAGATTTCATAATCAAGTAAAACCCTCTCTAATGTCCCCCCGTTGCATTACGTGAACGTGCGGTTTCGTAGCTCAGTTGATAGTAGCACCCAACTATTACCTGGGAGGTAGGGATTGAATTCCGTGGAAGCCTGAATTTTTAAGGCTTCTTTTCTGAAATTGCTGAAAATTGCAGCTCACCTGCGAGCATCATTCCTTTACTTACATGTGCATACATCAAGCCACTGTTCTTGTCGCCTGCCCAGTCTTCTCCAACTCGAACGAACAAATGGTCTTCTGCATCCATTTTTCCGAAACGCACATCAACAAGGGTCACTGTAGAAATATTAATAATAAATCCGCATCAAAAAGGAATGAGATCACATTCCTAAAGGATGCTGCACCATCATGAGGGCGACTTTACGAGGGGCGGCACAGCAAGAGGATTACGTGATATGTTTCTGGTTACATCAATCGTTCAGGATAAAAGTAGACATCACATCGAGCAAGTTAAGGCTGTAGGGCTGGCCCCAAGAGAAAGCTTGAGTACGTGACGTGGAGATATGACTGGTTTTATTAATGCATATCAATGGTTGAAAAAGTACGATCGAGTTTTTCCTTAAACAAACCGTTGGGCGTTGGGATGCAGTCCAATAAAATAAAGGATTATAACTTGAATTTATGAAACAGGATCGAAAACCACCACGATACATGTATCAGATTAGAAACATTGAATACTATGCAAGAGAAGGCAGGTTGCAGCCACAGACAATAAGTAGTGGACAATATGAAGTTTTCCCTAGCGCAGGAAATCCAAAAATATTCTTCTGAGTTTTGAACTATGGTATCTCTTTACAAAGTGCAAATGAACTGTCATATAGGATGTCGCCTCCGATCTGTTGTTATCATAATAATCTCAGACCTTCTTCAGATTTCATCCTTCGGCTGCACAGATCTGCTCCTTCAGCAACTTTCTTGAATTCCAGTCGAGGAGTCCTGGGTGATATGGTTGGCAAATATTAAGATTTCTCACTGTTTCCCCTATGTGTTTAATCATTCATCCATTCATTCGTTCATTCACTGAATGAACGAATTAATGGCAATCTTTGATCCAAAAATTCACTCATTTATATATTGATGATTGATTAAATTAAGTTTCATTCCTCCCTAAATTCAATAGTTACATTGCCTCTTTAGTGAGGTGACACACACAGTTCTGACCATAGATGCTGGATTATGGTTTAGTCTCTCGTGATAAAAATTATTCCTGAAACACTTACAAACTGACGGTAAACATCATTTTTTTCTTCTGAAGTTGTCCAACAGTTAGTGCAATAGACTGTAAGAATAATGAAGTTATCAAAGGTGATTAATTAACTCACATAAATTAGAAGGCTGATGGCTCTATAAAGTCATTGAATGCCATATAACAAAATTAAACTGTTAAATTCGATTCCAGCTTACCTCTTGTCTGGATGGTTTTCGCTTTTTAGCCTGATATGGGAAAAGATCGTACAAAGCATGGTTCTTTGTCTTCTCGCTTTCATCTAATGAGAAAAATAAAATATGAATCGTTCTTCAATGATCGAGAGACGCATGAAAAGAAAGTTGTGGAATGTTGAGAAGGATTGAGACTTTTCAGTTCAAGTCACATTTTAGGGAATCATAAATTACGTTCGAGTTGCACTCTTAACTTGATGTTCTCAGGCACATACCAATCTTTTTGTTGTATTTAAAAAACAACGTTAGAGGAAATAACTCTCTAGTCATCAAACAATAAGATTTCGGTTTCCATTTTGAAGATCAGGTTGGGAACCTTTAATTGGGCGTTATAGGCCATAAACTTGCGTCAACCAATTAGATTATACATTTTTGACCAGGGCATTCTGGCATTCGCACACGTGTCATCAACATTCAACAGAGCTGTAAGTAGTACTACATATATGATACAACCAGAACAGAACAACAACTCACCAACAATGACCACAGTGAATCCTGATGTTCCACGCTCAGCCTTCAATGAGAGAATCAATTGAAGTTAGACCCAGAGGCTCAAACTTAAAACTCTATACTCGTCATAGCAGGCAGCGAGCACAAGCTTTGTTTACTCTAGCTTGACCTTGAAAGTATAGATCATGGAGTTCAACATGAAAGACTACAATACATGGAGCTCAAACCAGAATCTTTCATCAGAAAAGTTTACGTTTCACTGAAGTTAAGTGCCACGTCTTGAAAGCTGAGGAGGGAGGAAATATTTTTAACGTTGTGCGAGCCTATTTCCCTCTCCTATACCGTGAGAGCTTGCCTGTTTTCCTACCGCAAAGGAGCATGCTAAGCGAGCTATTACACGGTTTAATTTGTTGTGAAACAGACAGAACTTGAGTTGTTTACCTGAAGCTGTTTGGCGTATTCAGTAGCTTTCTCAGCCTTCTTTCTATCTTTGTTAAACATACCATTCCACTGAAAACCAAGGAAATGATATAATAATTCTGTGTACTTTTTTAAACATAATTTTTGCTGATAGCAATAATGGGAATAAAGAAAACCAAAATTTTCAGACAAGAAAAAAAAATGTTTTCATGCAAATCCATCATAAATAACATCTTGTGCCATCGAAGGTATTTAGTACAATGCTTACCCATGCGAGGCGTCATTACCTGGTAAATTTTGAGTCCACTGTCAATTATAAACACATCATTCGAGTCCAGTGCTCCCCTCTTCGTTGCCGTCTCTCGAACGCAAATCTTTCCCTATAGGATAGAGGAGAAATCAAATTTTCTTGAGGGTCTGAGGAAAAAAATTTCAATTGAGTTTTAAAAGTATTCCAGGATGATTGTATTGTTTTTTTCCTGCACTACAAATTTTCGCTGTTCTCAGCTGCGAGACTGAAGTCAATCGCGACCACGTGACATGGTTATTTTGGTTTTCGCGCGCGTTAGACATGCACTTGTTTTTAGTTTAATTTCTTATTGGGTGATTATTACCTTTGATTTCCAATTATTTTTTAATATACCAATAACACGGAAAGAAATCACATAATTTATATTTAAAACGTAAAGCCCTGTCTATATGTCGTGTTAAATCCTGGAATCTTACAGGCGAACACGAGTGCGATAATGGCCTGTGACGCACTATTTCGTGCGTCGATGTTTTCCTTGGCAACATTTTGCCAACATTTTCATAGAATTTAAGGGATAACTTTACCTTGATCTGACCTACATTTCTGAGATGCAAGAAACTGTCGAAAGTTAAAAGCTTTTCGGCCGCCTTTTTATGCTTGCATCAGAATTATTTTAAGGAATAATTTGTCATGAGGTCTTTCTAATTGATTGTCTGATATTAAAGCGCATCAAAATTATTTGCATTCTCCTTCCGTTCGAGTATCAAAAACGACTGAGCTGTAGCTCCCTGATGATAGAATTTGTACTTTCTGTTGAACTTTACCGCAGCATTTGGTCCAGTCAAACGGAGAAGCCGTGTCTTGTATTCAGAGCGGAGGTCACAGTTTGCCATTTGATCAGATCTAGAGAACCAAAATATCAATTTAATCCCTTTGAAAAAGTGATAAGTGGTCTTTTCAAAACAGCCATATCCTGGACAGCACAACCCATGAAGACTTGTATCATGATGCATCACTCGAAAGGGATGCCGGTACATTTGGGGCCTGCGGAAAATATCACTAGTTGAAGCATGGGTAGGGGTTGTCTTTGTCGAAATATTTGAAGGGGATGTCGTCTTTTACGGAAGGTGCAAAAGGGTTACCTTGAAATCTTGTAACGTGTAATAACTGTTAATATATACTCTGCGTTTTCTGGCCTGGGAATGATCGCAGAAAGACCGCTAGTGATCAAATCAGTTCTATACTTCATTTCTTTTCTGCACTACTTTCGCACCGCCCCTGTACGCCTGGTACAGGCGATCTCATCAGGTCCTTGAGGTATTTCCTTTTTTCTTACTTGATGTGGTACTTTGACTTTTCTTTACTACACTCGGCGTAAAAGCGCGCTTAACGGGGTTATATGGCATCGGTGAAGAAAAGCTATCGATAACCAAGTGTTTTGTGAAGGAAGAACACTACTTACTCTCCTTTTAAAACCGTAAAATATTGAAAATAATTAATAAACCGCTTTGATTCAAAGTCTTGAACTTCTCGGTGAACAAGTGCTCTGCCTTCCATCTGTAGATAAAACAGTGAACGACAAAAATCAGCAGAAATAATTATCATAACTGATCATGATAAAGATGATGGCTAAGTTCACACTCGAGCAGCTAATCGACAATACTATAACATCACTGAAACATAAAGTATAACGAAAGAGTTAAGCACAGAGTTTTCTTGTTAATTTTTAATGAAACTTGTCTGGCTGGAATAATTATTGCTGAATTGCAGCTAGAACACCAGCCACGTTTTCAGATCTGGTATTTCCAATTTCACTTTCAATACAACCTACGGCGAAAGAAGTTTCGAAAAATAATAAAACTTCTGAACGTCTTTTTTATGACAATGCAGTTTTCTCGTGCTTGTAAAAATGAACATAAATACAAAACACGTCTCTTTTGTGCCGGGAAAAGTTACTCGAGGATAACCAACAGTTATGAGGCGGAAACTCTCTAGAATTCAAACAATAGCGAGCAAATCAAAAAGAAAGACTTTGAGTTGAAGGGTTCTCACCGCCTCGCCAAACGCAGTAGCATTATACAAAGCCTTTTTGTACAACTCGGACGAGGCTTGCTTACCAATCCAGCAGTGGATATCACAACTAGTCTGCAAAACAAAACAAAAAAAAAAAAACAGAAAGCGAGGGAAAAAGTCAATTGCTCTTTACTAAAAGCAGTGAACCTTCAGCCGTGACTGCCCATATTTTCTAGTTACATTAATTGTTTGATGGGCGATGGAGAAAGACTTGAGCCAGATATTTTTGAAATCTGAAATTTGAACTTGGCTTTGGTTCTTCAAGTCATTTTGACTAATGTTCCCATTTAGGTAAGGAGTTATGTCTTAATACTGTTAAACTTTTCCGTTTCGGACTCTTAAAGGGTCTTTCTTGTGTTAAAATACGTAAGAAGAACAAAGCGAGATGAACATTTTAAGTTGTTCTACTTCATCATCGAATATTGCTCTCTTGAGTCAGTCAGTTCACTGTCGGGTCACTGATGATGACAAAACTGCTTCATAGCTTTGGTGTAGTATACTTTTCTTTATACTCACTGATGTTTTAAGAGATGTACGATTCAACACTATGTACACTTCTTGGCTGAAGAATTTTCCTTTGGCGGCTAAACTCCATTCTACGATCTGTGACAAGGAAAAAAGATTACTGTAATCAATAAGCAACTACGCCCACTACTGGAACGCAAAACAGAACACACGGGAATCCCGCGGGATTCACGACGCAGAAAAAAGTTTGTTTTCACTTTAATTACACTTGGGCGAGATAAGAAAATCTATGACAAATCAGGAAAACCTCGCTTCTTAAGCGAATTTTAGCTGGCAATGAATGTGGGTGATATGAATCTCAGCAAAGAAAAAGTTCTGTAGTTCTTTTGGCCAGTGAGTTAAAAAGTTGAAAGTTGAATGTTGAAACTAAATTCTGTAAAAAGTGAAGCATAGGATTTCACACGGTCTGCATTCACCCCTGCAGATTGTAAAGTTGTTTTTATTATTATTACTTAACAAGCGTTGAAATTTTTTCCTTATTTGGAAAAACGCAAGTATCTACATAATGCACTCAGATCAGTTGTTTTAAAACAAAAATATTCTCTAGCATGACTTCTACATCATTAGACAATAAGTTAAATTTTCAGTGCACGAAATCCTACAAAACTCTATATCAACAATCAACATATTCTAAATAGGTTTTTTTTCGTAACGGTCGATCCCCATATAGCAAAAATCGAGATCTTACAGTAATTTTTACGAAACAAATCAGCCCATACAGTCTTACGAAGAAGCTGAAACGAATTTGGAGAGAAAGACAAGAGGAAAAAACTTATAATGAAAGAAAGCAGGTGTTGCACGGTCGTTGATAAAAATATAAAGCTTTAAAAGTGGTTAAATCCCGCTCTCGAGGGTAGAGTCTGCGTTGTTGTACATACTGACTCTGCGCATTAATTTGACAAAGTGACCCACTGAATAGTAAACAAACTTTAGATTGCGATATTTTTTGACAGCCTTCAAGCTACTTACACCAGAGTCAGTGATTTTCCAGGCCCGTGGTTTGTCAGTCGCAGGTTCAGCAGAAATTGCTATCCAATCCTTCAATCAGTAAATTATAAAGTGACGTTAGATGAGGTCAATTGCACTCATTATACACAGTTCATCTCAAACTCTCACCAGCGCATTACAAGCAACAAAGTCAAAGAATGGTTTTAAGAGACCTTAACGTCTATATCACGGTCTACATAAATTGGTATCTCTGCTTCTTTCCAGCGGTAATCCGAAAGTCCTTCTATGTAATTGGAATCTAGGTCTGCCATTTTGATGCGACACTGCGAATAAATCGTTGCACTATCCGTCGGCTCGAGGACGCCTCTAAAGGTTCCAGTCCAATGGGTAGATTCCCTTCATTAATGATGTTTAAAGTATTATTTTAATCATGAGCGATACTATTGGTCGTTATTTTAAGACGGGCCTTTATCTTAAATTGTCAAGCAGTAACTATTGTGAAGGATTAATTAAACAATGCTTCTCATTTGTGCCTCGCAAGCACCTTTCATGTATTCACAGCAGGTAGTTCAGTTACTAAACAGAAATACGAATGCTTGTAGAGTTAGTTTGCGGTGTTAATATGCAGCAGCATTTCAGAAATAAAAGACCCTTTTGGAATCATGTCTTTATAACCAGGTCTCTTGACTTTAGTTATTTTTGGTTTTAATAAAAGGTTTCTTGCTTAGATAAAACTTGGTGTCTTCCTGGGAATTATTGCAAAGCGTGTCAAACAGCTAAAAAGATGAATAAAATAAACATGAATTTTAATATTTAAAAATCTCTCCTAGAGTGGCAACTTTTCAAGTCAGTTAGTTGATAAAAGTCTGTATTGAGGTGTCACGGTGAGGAATGAAGCTGTAATTTGTTACAGAACTGGAAGTTTTCGCAATCTCTTCAGCAGGTATTCTCTTTCTTCACCCCCTGGGAATGAAGTTGACCCATTCGTTTTTATTAAAAAATTTGTCGAAACTGTTTATCATTGTGGTGATTGACATTCTCTCTCACGGAAAGAGAAATCTAAATAAACATTTGAAATCAAAGGTAGGTGTGACGGCCAGCCAATTTTGAAACTGATAAACGTATGAGCCGATGAACGTGCAAACGACTAAAATCATTTAAACTATGGTCGCATGGGATTTTCATAGTGCAAAATCGTGAACAGACCGCAAAGACTAGGGAATAAAAATGGTTAAGTCAGCTTATGAGCCAGAGGCTCCATCCTGTCGTAGAGTGTCCTAGTTTAGTGACATTAAGTGACTTATAGCAATGAAAAAGAAAAGAAAAGATGTGAAGATAAACCGTTAAAGGAAAAGCACGAAACGGAAAACTCACAGATAACGTGATGGGGCCTTCACGCGAGCAATTTGTCACGTAAACTCGTGTTTCGCAATGCATGGTGGGATATTCAATTCTTGCTATGCTGGCTTTTGCTTCCTTGTTTGACGACATTGGAAAGGTCTCGCAGGAAAAATTTAGACTCTGGTTATTCACGAAGATGGTCGATGATCATTGGGCTGCTCGTCATGACAGAAACAAAGTTGACCTCGCCTTCATTGTCGACTGTACAGGTTCCATGGGTCTTCATATCAAGCAAGCGCAAAAACACGTTCGAAGTATCGCCGAAACTGTTTCGCGAACTGCATTCAACGTGAAGCTTGGGCTGGTAGAGTACAGAGATCACCCTCCCCAGGATAACTCATTTATAACGAAAGTTCACGATTTTACACATTCCGTAGAGGAAATGAAAAAATGGGTGGATGGTATGAGCGCAAGAGGCGGTGGAGATGGTCCTGAGTCAGTGGCTTGTGCTTTGGACGCAGCTTCCAAACTCAACTACAGAAAAGATGCTACCAAGATTTGTGTTCTCATTGGTAAGTTGAAGCTTTACGAATAGTGTGGACAGGTAAGAACAGGTACATTAAATATTATGTGAACTTTTTCAGATGATCTCTGCACCCTGAAACAGTTTTGATAAAAATGTTACAAACGATTGTGTAGGAACGAGCTCGATGGGAAAAAATCCGAATAGATATCACTGGTGTTGGAGAACTTAAATTACTGGTGTTCACTTTTTCACGTGGCATTTTTAATTTTGTCGTATTTCTCTTCAAAATCTGTTGTGAAAGCCGTATTTATCTGGATCCTCGTGGAGAGGTCATAGTTTTACGAAGGAAAATAGTTTGAATGGTAAACATCACCCTGGATATTTGTATTCTTGTAAATAAAATTCAGATCATTACTCACATATTATTGTAGATACAGTCGTTTGTTCACTTTCTTTATTAATTAGTTTACAGGATTATACTTATTTTTAACACCAATTTTGAGCAGTGATGTACTTCGTTATGGAATTATTTGATCCTATCAACATACTATGTACATCCTAAAACCACTTCATTTGAAATTATAACACTGCTGTATTAAGCTCTGATTCTCAGTGTAATTCCCAGTCTCCATTTTAAGCTTCCCAGCAGTACCTTATTGTTTTGGTGATTGTAATATCATTTTAATGTCACAGACATGTATCTTCAGATTTACATTTACTGATGCTTACATTTAAAATTTACCATTTTGATAATGAAAACTACAACTCTGACTGGGAAGTACTTGATGAGAGCAATTTCACAAGATAGGGCACTGTAGGTTATTATCTGATAATAATGTCATAATTGAGGTGATGAATGGTAAATTTACTGGAGTCTTCTTTATTCTTTCAGCTGATGCCCCTCCTCATGGACTTGGACTAGAGCATGATGGTTTCCCTGATGGCTGTCCAACTGGCAATGACCCTCTACAGGCTTGTAGAGCTATGGTGGAGAAGGGAATTGTACTGTACTGTGTAGGATGTGAACCAAACATCCTACGCTACAAAGATTTCTTTATGGGTTTGGCATACATAACTGGTGGCCAGTATGTTCCTCTCTCCAAAGCTCAGGGTTTATCAAAGGTTGGAATTTAAGTTAAAGGAGCCACAGTGTGTTTAATTCATGTCGTTAAAGGTAGATTGCTATTTAAGAAAATTTGTGCTAAATTTATGCTGAAATTTACCTAATAAAATTTTCACATCCACCATTTTTAAGACATGTTGTTTTTTGTTAGCCATCTCATTACATCTATTAAATATATTGCTGCGTAAAATTCATGACAAAAGTAGGTGACACACCATATTGAACTCACTACATACAATTTTTTTTAAAAAAGGCATTTTTTAAACAAACAAAGCAAGTCTTACTAATGTGACTGCAGTGTGCTGGAGAGTAGACTTGGCATAGTTCACCACAGAGTTCTTCATAGTAGAGAGTCAGAGTATCAGAATATGGAATGTAAAGGTTTAAGGTTGGATTGTTTGTGGGGGACTTAAATGTTTTCTTTGTGTCATGTTCTTGACAACAGGAGTAACATCTTTCTTTAATTGATGCTCCAACTGAAAAGCTATAATCATCTGTCTTATTTTATCATTAACTTCCTGTTTTGTAGGTAATAATAAATGCCTCACTTGAGGAGGTTGCCCATGAGAACATTATGGGATATGTTGAAGACTTCTTAAACATGGCCCTTGAAGAAATGAAAGGAAAGAAACAGAAGGTAACTGTAGATGACTTGGCTGAAAAACTTCAAGAGCATTTAAACCTGAGAAATGTCAAATCCCGCCAACTTCAGTGCAACTCTGCAGAACTCCAGCCCCCCACACCAACAGCAAAGAGAATTTCTGGGTTAAAAAAATTGTCACAAGTTCAGCAGTTCCTAGAGAAAGACACTCCAATGGACTACAGATTATTTTACATGAACAATGTCACAGTGGAGGTCACCATAACCGAGCCAGCAGAAGTTACTAAACTCTTGTCTGAAAGGTTACTTACGAAGGCACTTGGCAGGCAGAAAATACCTGTGGAACATGATGAAGAAACTGGTGAGATAACCATCTATGAGCCATTTATGTCTGGAGCAAGTCCTGCAGTGTAACCTAATGACATTTTTATGAAAAGGGTTTCAAGAATTTTTGACACAGATTCATGACATGTGCGGAAGTATTCAAGTGGACTCCTACCACACAGTTTATTTTAGCCAAGAACCAACTTTCTCAAAAGCTTTTTCCTTTTCCTGAACAGCAGTAGGTTAGCCCCTTATCCAGCACATAACTTCAAGTATCGCCAAATATCAATTTATGGGAACCATGAGGGAACCCATGTATGGTTACTATTTTGTTGTGAATTGTAACATAGGAAATATCCTTGAGTAAGGAGTAAAGAAACTTGACAATGAATTATATTAATAGTGGTAGAGTGTTGTTAGTCTCCAATGAGACAACTTTATTTTGCTTGTTATGAGGTTGTTAAAAGGCCTCAAATTCTTTAAGTTCAATTATTTTACCATCAAGTTTTTTATGGATGGGAAGATTAGCAGCTTTTCTCTGCAGTTCAATAACAAAGTTGACACAAGTGATGCAGTTACATTATGTATTCAGCAGTTCATTTAAGAGGTTACAAACATAAATGTTATAATTACCTTCTTCAGAAGAACAACTGTTAACCTAGGTCTTTTTTGTCTCACCACATTTAATGATCTCCTTTTTAAAAATCCATTTAGTTTTCTTTTCTCTTTGATTATTGTTACAAAGTAAATACTCCTGTAAACATGGCATTTATGAACTTAATAATGTTATGCTATTTTTGACTGAACTTATACTTAAATTATGATCCTGTAGAAAAACTGTACCTCTATTCAGTCCTCAATTAACTTTGATTATCATTTCGAACTGAATATCATTATTTTTTTGCATCTATCGAGTAGGATGTTACTCTGCGTTGAAGTACATTTACCTTTTCATTCCAGCCCTTCTCCCCTATCTCGGGAGAAACTAGATCTCAGTTCACCTCTTCCATTTGCAGTCCTCGTGAGGCTCCGTGCGGTTTCCCAAATGTCGTGAGGTTGTGCTATTGTGTTGAAAATCTTTTATGATACTAATGGCACTAAAGTTTCTTCTTTAAAGAATACAAAATTGGTAACACTTGGGAATAGTTTCTCTTGAGCTGAAATAATCTTACATTGGAAAGCACACTTCAACTCTCGAACACTGGGATAAGATTGAGGATGGAGGTTGGAAACTAGAGCATCACTTCCGTCTCTCGTAATCGTCGCTCGATCCATGGCTACCCATGGAACTGCGTCAAGAGTAGTTGTCTCGGGAAAGCGTCTTTTGAACCCTTTCCGTACTTTTCTACATCGTGTATCCTCTGAAATCTTAGAAGAAGACTTGAAGTCTTTGAAATTTATTTTGGCAGATGAAATTCCTGAGGGAATTTTGGAAAATTGTCAGAAGTCTACGGATTTGTTTTCCTACATGATAAAGAAGTGTCTTATAGGAGAGAACGATCTGGATTTCCTTGCAGAACTTTTCCATTGCATTAACCGATCTGATCTTGCAGAGCGTGTTAAAGTTTTTATAAGTAAGTCTCCCTCATCACTAGGAATGGGCAGCGCACCCATAGCACAGGTGACTCGTGAATTGCCAGGTAAATTTCATATTCCTATCTCCAACCCTAAGCTATCAATCTTAATTATTAATTTTCATTGTGTGACCAGCTATTTAAATTAAAATTGAAGTAATCGGTCGTGAGGAATGACAGCAAACAAAGAGCAACAAGTTGTCGTAGTGAGCGAATTCGAAGTCGGGAGGGTCGATGGGGTGAATGCAGATGCTAGTATAAGGATTATTGTCAGTGAGGGATTGTGCCATGCCAGTGAAGGGAAACCTGACTCAACCAGAAACCTTAAAAAAATTTGCTCATGTATCTTTCAGAAAGTTTGTCCATCTAGTGCAGATTGTGGTGAATGGATAAATTTACACAAACCGTGACTTTCGGTCTGTTGAAAAAAAAACTCATGGACTCACTCTGTGATGTGTGAGCAGCTTAATTTCAAGGCCTCTTTATTTGAGCTCTGTTAAGAACACCTGACCTGGATTCTTAGATCCTTTTTCAACACTGTTTTTTCTTTGGAAAGATTGTGACAAGTTGATATAGATAGGCCAGACTGGCCTGATTTCTAAGTCTTGGTTTTTTTTTTTGTGATTGATTTATGTTCCTTATATACAATCAATACAGTTGATGGAATGGTACCCAAAACTGTTTATCAGCCCAAAAAAATAGACATATCTACAATAAAGGGGAACACCATGTGTATGATTAGGACATAGTAACATTTTCTTTTTTTTCTTTTCAGCCATGGGAAAGGCTATGGTTCGCTTCATGTTATCTGGTAATAATATTGACCAAAGAGCCACCCTCCAACAATTGAAAATTGGAATTTGTGCAGCTCTTCGAATAAAAAATTCTGATATCAACTTTGTTAAAACAGAGGAGGAAGCTAATAACTCAGCCTGCTTCACCTTTCAAATCCCAAAGAATGATGGGCTGTTAAATTCACTCCGTAATGATGCCCTTCAAAAAGAGGACTGGCTTTGTCAATGTGGAATCCAGGCAGTGAGGGTTGGTGGAGATGCAAGTTACATTTGTCTTGTTCAGCCACTCACCCATCCACCTAAGGATACCCAAGCCAGACTTTCACAACTACTTCAGGCAGAAAGTGGTGCAGGTATTTACATGTGTCGTATGACATCTTGTAAGCTATCACTGTGGAGTTATCTGACCCCTCTAAGAAATATTTTTCTTGGTGAGGTTATGAATTGACCTGACTGATCTTCCTGTTGGTATAGGGGTGCCACCCATAGCTCAGAACTGTGACCTTAAATAGGCCAAAAAGAAAAAAGAATACCTAGCCTGTGAATAACAGGAACTGATCAGCAACAAATATCTAGCTTTGATCTCAACTGCAACTGAAAAGGCTGATTGAGGCTTCTATTTTATGTATATGTGATGTAACAGGAGTCAATTACTTGTTCCCTGCTGCCTATGGCCCTTATTTGAAATAGAATTTACCAAAGAAAGAGATCAAAACCTGGGGCAGGAGTATCTGAACAGAGATGGATACAAAGTGATAACTGAATGGTATTATGAAAAAGCCTTTACCTAAGGGGGTATAAATGCAGAGGGGGGAGGGGGTGGAGTATTTGGAACCCCTTGATACTTGAATTTGATTTTTAAACTTATTTTTCCCTATATTAGATTTGAAGTGGAAAGACTTTGTTAACAAAGACAACCTGGATTTGATTGTTGTTGTTGAGCGTACTAAGAATCGTAAGTTTCATACAAGACTTAAAACTCAACTGGCTCACTTGGTTGAAATGATTTGTGTAAGAGATTACAACTTCCGACTTGCCCTAGTTTGTTATCAGGATCACACTTTTCCTGTTTCCAATGCTATCACTTGGTGGTTTACTAAAGAAAAAGATGTCATGAAGTCCCACATACATTACCTTAATGAATCTAGAATACCATGTTCAGAAAATGGGTTGGCTGATGGTCTTGCACTGGTACAAGATTTAGCAACTAAAGAAGATTCAAAATCATGCCGGAAAGATGCCAATAGAGTTTGCATACTACTGCGTAAGTACTGTATGATGGTTAGATGTAGTGAACTGAACAGTTAATATGCTGGACTCTAAGTTGAGAAGTAGAGTTTGGAGACCTGGCTTTGAGTCATTGTGTTGTGTTCTTGTGCAAGACACTTTACTCTCCCAGTCCCTCTCTCCACCCAAGAGTATAAATAGGTACTGTACCTGTGAATTGTCAGGGAAATCCAATGAAAAGCTGGATAACCTGTGGTAGACTAGCATCCTATCCAACTTGAGTAAAACATAATGAAAAAGCTGACAAAACCACCAGCTAGGGCCACTTGGTTTGAGTGCTGACTATAATGGAATTTACATGATGGAACCTGATATGAGTTTTCCCAAACTTTACTACCACAGTTATTCTTTCCACCCAGGAGTATACACTATAGGTGAATATCAATGAACCATTCCCAAGTGATTGCTGGGTGTGGATCCTACAGTGGCTTAACACCCTGTCTTGAAAGGGAGGGTGTAGCAATATTCTTAAACATGTCATGCCTTAGGAAACAGAGATTATGACTGGCTCCTACTTTTAGTAGAGTTTATATCATTTGCAAGGGTTTAATACTTATGAATTAACCAATCTATTGGTTTTTTTTAGCTTCAGTGAACGAGAGAACCTCCCTAGAAACATACAAGTGTTCACATGGCCACGATGTGATGAAAATTTGCAGACAGTTGGCAGAAAATTCCGTCACCCTTTACACAGTTGGAATCATGCAACCCACAACTGCATCCCCTTTTGGAAGAAACCCATTGCCAGAATTTTTTTCAGGAATATCACTCAAAACTGGAGGTCGTTACATCCAAACACAAAACATCAAGCAGCTACCAGTGGTAATTTTCAACATTTGATAAGAAAACTTTTCTTAGTAATTTTATTGTGCATGTTCTGCATCCTATTCATTAGTCCCTCTTTCCACATACCAGCTCTTCTGAATTTTACTTAGACAAATTACATGCAACATTGGTCTCTATTGACTCAAAATTTGCCATCTTTGGGACCTACTTTTATAACTTGATGATGGAGTGTGACCTAAATTTTCAATTTTATGCTTGCATGAGAGAATAAATCAAACTCACAGTCCTGATTTTTTGTAGTCAGTCAATTGCCTACCATACCAATCCTGAAATGTCTTTCAGATAGAAAGGCGTCACATAGCCTCACAAAGAGTGTAGGTGAAAACTGGGTTTGGTGACTGCTGTGTGATATCATTTGGGAATTTGTGTAAAAACAAATTCTTATTTTGCAAGTTTCTTTTAAAATCTATTCCATGTTTGGAGCCACCTAATTTTTTTCAAACTATTTAGAGATTTATTTTTCTGGAAAGACATTTATGGCACTGGTGCTGATTAAGAGTTATATCCTAAATCCTAATTCTGTCATCCTTGTTGTTAAGAATCTACAATATTTCTCCACTCACAGATTATAATGTGTGCCATTAAAGAAGATCTCTCCTTGGAGCGTCTCATTGGCACTGCACATGATATAGTCCTACCACATGTGATTGAGAAATATGGAGATATTAATGTAGAAGAGCTTACCAAGATGCTTAGAGAAGAACTTAATCGAAGATCCTGCCTCGCAAAAGGCATTGTACTGCAAAACAGTGTGAGTGTTCTGCATGAATCTGAGTTAGCACGGAAGTTGTCTTATGATGAGGACTTGGAGAGTGCTTGTTGCACTTTTAGAGAAGGTGTTAAAAGATTGCAGCAAGCAGAAATGCCTACAAATGGATTACCACAAGATGTGGACATGGAGAAAGTGACTAGTGACCTGGCGAGAATTACAATATCAAAAGATCAGGAAATCACTGATGATTTGTCAGAGCGACTTGTTCGCAAAGTTGGGCATCGGGCTTTTTACTGCACTTCATCCTAGGACTGATTGAAATAAGTATTTACTTTTGTCAATAAACAAAATGCTGGAATCTAATTGGTTCTTAACTGCCTTCACATGTTCCTTAGTTTGCAATGTTTGCGCAGCACCAAACAGTCCAGTTTGATCTACCTTATTTCAACCACCTTGTATTTGGTAAGATCAAATCAGTTATCTTAAAGAGGAATTGAAAATACAGTACTAAAAGGCACCAGCCAATATCATTCAACCACTCCACTGATACTTACCAATCAAAAGCAAGGAGACTTAAAAGTAAGTAACATTGTTAATTTCAGCCTGGAAACATGAAATTGATGAGAATGATTGGTTGAGCTTTTTGCTAATGCATGAAATGAGATGCCTGTCTTGTCATTTGACACTTCATGCCTGAGTTTCTTGCATTTTGTTACTGACAAAAATTAATTAGTAATATGACTGAGAAGTGAATACTTCAGGTGTAAAAAGATAGGCCGTTGGATATTCCAACATCTAGCTTTTTTTAACAAGTCAAAAAGTTATCACAGTTTTCACTTATCATACATGTTAATACTTTTAATGTTAACTAAGAGTTAGTGACATTTAACTGATCTCTGGAGAACTTTCTCAAAGCTAAGAACTGCACAGGTATTAAACACTGCTGTACGAATAAAAAATTCAATTTATGAGTTACAAACACATTAAAACTTTCTTGAAAACTAGCATATATATGTGACTCTGCTGCATTTCTACAACTCCTTTTTAGAACTAAAATTTGACATTAAAAGCCTTTCATCTTGTCAAAAAGTTTTATTAAAATAAACCTTGTAGTTAAAAGGGTTATTCCTTGCAATTTAACTTTCTCTGTATCAATTTGCCTAGAGCTACTCAAAGTACCTTGCATTTTACATCTACATCCTCTTTACATTGGTATTCCAAATCCTCTTGAGATACATAAGGAACCTGCCAACATAATGTTGTGGAAAATTCCAGGAGGGTCAATTTGCAGTTTGGCAATCATTGTTCCCTTTTGCTTCAAGGTGTTAGCATTCTTCTGAAGTGACAAGTGCACATAGCACATAGGCCATGTTAGGCTCACTGTTGAACAGACACATTTGAATGAAGTGGTTTAACTCGCACATTTCTTGAAAGTCCAAGACGTATTGGAGGGCCAGTGTTGTTGATTTTAACTCCACCAAGATTTACAGTTTGCATTCCTGGATTGTTTTTGTTGAGTGAGGTGGAGTGCACCTTCACTTGCTGTAAAGGTTGATGTCTTGTGATGGACACAACTATGACAAAATACAACAAAGCCTTCATGTTATTTTGACTTCTCTTAGTATTATAGGCAACTTCTTTCCTTCATTTCTATACTGCTTTATTATCATTTAAAGTTTATAATTAACTTTAGTTATACCCAAGGATGATCATGTTTAGGCTAATATCACTTTGTATACATACATACATATATACATACATATATATATACATATATATATATATATATATATATATATATATATATATATATATATATATATATATATCTCTACATATATATATATATATATATATATATATATATATATATATATATATATATATATATCTCTTTAAAATAACATGATTGCAATTATAGGCAATTTGTATTACCTTTTCAAGGAATAATGAAAAAATCCTTTTATCTTCAGAAGAAACCTGTGAAAACACAGGAGACAAAAAGAGAGAGAAAGTGGCTTTATTGTTCATTTGGCTTTATTTTTAAGAACTAAGTGGCCAGCCAGCCTTTTAACAATTTTTGCACAGCTTATTCAGTTTTAGAGTTTATTCAGGTTTAACATTTGTGTTTGATGCCATCAGCCATCATATTACTTAGCCTGGGAAAAAGCAAAGGATCATTAACAGAAACCTTCAGTGTGATTTACTACTTGTATTGTTAATTTCATGGTTAAACCCTGACCCTAAAATTCACACAATATAACATCTCCCTTAAGTCTTTTTACAATGACTTGAGTAGCACCAGGTTTCCTGTGGTTTGTCCCGGGCCTCTATCAAAAAGTAAAGTTATTTAAGTGAAACATGAGACTTATATCTCAAACAGCATTCAGGGTATGTATATAAGTATTAGTTTGATTATTAATTCTTTAACAATTCTCAACAATTTTAATCCCAGGATCTCCTCCCTCCTCACCCCCACTCATTTACTTGGGCACTTGGGCATTTTTATCTTTCTCCAACTTTTCTTGATCAAAAATTATTTAAGCATAATTTAATAACTATTTTCTGTTAGGTACAAGCCCCAAAGTACCATGTGAGGCTGGCTCTCAAAAAGGTAGACTAAGACAATAGTAATGGCTTGACATACTTGATGGTGAGTTTGATGCAGAACTTGACACTGAGTGGCTGCTGTTTGCAGATGAAACCTTTCCTTTACCACTGCCTTTGCCCTTTAACATCTTGATTGGTGTAACTGAGATGTGTGAACACAAATTTGGATCAAACATGTGGTTAAAGAACATGATTGTTTTGCAGTAAAAAAGATACAAAATGAGTTCTGTAACCCCAAACTTCAATCAACAATTCCATAAAGTGAGCCTGTGAAGATGCTGTAGCCATGGTAACTTTTCATTTAAAAGAAATTACCATTACCTGTTGAGCTTTGATTACATATTTCTATGATACTAAAACCACCTTCGAAGAGGGAAATTGAAAAGTGTAGAATCATTGCACCATTGAAGAATTATAATGTTAAAATAAAAGATACTTAGCCACCATAGATGTTAAAATGCCACTCTCCATCTACAAGTGTGTATATATATATATATATATATATATATATATAAATATATAAATATATGGAAGTGAACTACCAATTAACAATCCTCTAAAATATATTAAAGTTCACACAGCGACCAGGTGGACAATCAGACAAGGTTTGATGCTACTCTGGTTTACAGACTTAATGAATGTAACTGAAGAAGTTACAACTCATAGACCCAACATTTTGACACTCCTGTCTAGTGCCTTCATCAGGGATGATCTAAATGCTGCAAAAATAGGTCCTTTTATATGATCACTAATTAGCAGCCTTTCAATGACCTCTTGACACTCCTTTAAATCGTGACAATGGTGGTTTGCTTCCTGATGCCTATTTACACCTCCTCAGAAAAAAAGGCCGCTAATTGGTGATCATATAAAAGGACCTCTTGTTGCAGTGTTTAGATCACCCCTGATGAAGGCACTTAACAGGAGTGTCGAAACATTGGGTCTATGAATTGTAACTTCATCAGTTACATTAATTAAATCTGTAAACCAAAGTAGCATCAAACCATGTCTAACAATCCTCTGTTAAGTTACCTCAAACTAACATCCTGGTGGCCATACTACCAGTTACAACATGAAGCACCAGTCACCCAAAACAACAGACTTTACCCTGCAATACAGTTAATATCTGGGGGTTTACACACTCCAAGTATCCAGTACTGACAATAAAGACCCAAATGGTTAAATTAAAGTTGTTATCATTTCACCAACCTGTCACACTTGTTCTTGGTTTAATACTTGGTTTGGCTGGTGAACTCACAGCTGACTTTCCTCGCCCTTTGCCCTTATTTGTTTTCTTTAGTTCTGTTTCCTCATCAAAATCACTGTCATCTCCCTCACTTACGCTTTCCTCATTGCTCAACTCTTCACTAAGTTCAAAATCACTATCTTAAAACAAAAGAGTACACAAAATTCATGGAGTATCTGTTGGGGAACATATCAACTTCAAGAATCTTACCAAGACCATCATCTTCCTCTTGTTCTTGTTTTAAAACCTCTTTCTTGACATCTGATGTTGTTCTGCTTTGTTTCTTTTTTATTTCATCATTTCTTCTTTCCTCCACTTCGATGTTTGGAACTTTTTTGTCTGTATTAGTGTGCGAGCCACTGCTGCAATCCACATATTTATTACATTTAAATGTCTGCTAACATAAAATTCACTTTAAAATGTAATATGAACACCAAGCCATTATGACAGCAATGAAAATTTTCAAGATCAACAACACTGAAAGGAATGACATCAGAGTCAATCAAACTATGACTGCAAAGAAGGGAAAAATGCAACAGCCACTGAGTATATAATAATGGCTGAACCCAAACAATAGAGTTCTATTTTGGTTGTTCATGCACTTGAACTGTTATTTAATATGGAGCTTCTAATGATACATCAGCAAATAAAATATAAATTATCTTACACATTGTTCTCTTTGTTGTTGTCTTCTATCTCCAAAGGAGGAAGTAACCTGGGCTTTTTCGATTTGGATGATGCAACTTCTACTTCATCATCTGAAAATTCTTCCTGGTTATCATGTGTAGTACTACTACCAGATGATAGCTGAGAGTCTTCTATGGAAGCTTTCAGTGCAGCCTCTAATTCTTTCTGGTACAGCTTTTCATCTCTTGACAATCTGAGTAAAATGCAGACAAAAAAAACTCCCAATGACAATTGCTCTTAAATAGCAGAATGCTTGTAACCAGAAACAAGTTTAAATCAATTAAAAGCTTCAACAACCCCACAATAACCCCCAGGTCCACCCCACACACAGGTTCAAATTCTCCACCCATGAGGACACAGACAACAGCATCCCCTCAGGGAGGGATGCAGAAGCTTCAAATTGATCAGAGTGTAATGACTTATGAATTGTAAACCCACACATAGAGGTAAAACACCCACTAAGGTCAACAGACAATGAAGCAAGTTAGCCATGAGTCCCTTCGATATCTATGATCTTGATTATGTATCAAGTTACAATTGATAACCCTGCTAAACAGTTATTATTTTGAAACCCAATCAAAAGGCCAATCAGACATCCCTTAAAATGAGCCAGTCATCAGTAAGCAAGTTACAGTTGAGAAACTCATGTTAACCATGAAGTCTGCTTTGATTCAGGTTTGTCACATGTGAATCTACCTTGACTCAGAAGGAGAGAGATACACAAAAGGAAAAAACAATCGTATCAAATATTACTTTCCCTTATAATTATCCCTTAAAAATTAACAACAACCATGTCAAAAAACAAAAAACAAAACACAACACACTTTGCTATTGAAAGGCCATGTTCCTACCTAAAATACAAGAATCATGGAAGCCAATTTATCAATGAAGATTCCCCAGTAAGTACATATATGATCCTTGTAAACAATACTGGTATTCAAAGTTGTAATTGCTTCCTCAAAACCCCCTTACTTTCAGTGTGCTTTCCAATCACATGTGCACAAACCTTTCTTTCCTTTTTAAACTTCCTGATTCTTTACTCTTTGTCTCTTCTTGTTTTGATTTAATATTTGACTTGGCTTTTGATTTCGTTTTCTTTGGTGGTGGTGGCGGTCCTGCTTCATCTTGGAAATCATCTTTGAAAACCAGAAAACAAAACATGAACATGAAAAGCTATTTTTTGTCACCCCAAATCCCAACAATTCCCTGTCAAATTAATGTAGTGGTCTATTTTATGTAAAATGGGCTCATGTTTGTTGTGGCATTATAAAAAAAAGTTGAAAGTAAAATCACTTAGATTAAATTGCTTGACCCAGCATGGATAAAAATTTATTTCTGGAAATCCTTCTAATTAGAAAATGCACATAACAAAGCTTCCTTCTAATGACGTTTAAAATGTCGAGACTAGAAATGTTGAACTGCCATGAGGAACCAGACATCACAAATCTTTTGATCACATGTAATGCAAATAAAACTGACTGTCATCTATCATAAAAGCGACTCCAAGCTGTGGTCTGAGGTACGAGTTCAAGTCAAAGATAATCACGGTCGCGGGAAATAGTTAACGAATCATTAGGGATACGAGAGCCAAAACAATTAGTCAAAGTAATGTATCCAAAATGTGTTTACCATCACTATTGTTGCTGCTGTTGTCTTCTTCTTGACAAAACTTTGCATAATCTACTTTTTTACGCACTCTACGGAGAGACATTCGAGGAAGAAGAACAAAATAAGATGTACACCGCGAAAGACTATCGGTAACTGGACTTAGATTAGACGTTGAAGCACGTATGAGCGATAGCTGGCAGATGTCTGTTGTTGGAAATGCAAATTAAAGCTACGCTTTCACTTAAAGTAAAACATTGTCAGGTACTAATATATTCAACATTTTTTCATGAACTAGCGATATGTCACACCCACACTATAATTGTACACTGATTGAATGTGGGCGACTTTGTTTTCGTTTCACTAATGGAAATATTCAACCAAAATGAAAACAACAAAGGGCATTCTGTTTTCGCATGTGGATACCACAGTTTCCTTTCCCTTGAAAGTGTGTGGAATTCGGTTGTTACCTGTCAGATCGCCTCTCCAGTGACATACCAGTACTTGTACACACTTCAAAATGAGTAAAATAATGTAGACTTATTGTTAATTCCCAAATTCTCTTTATTTTTAATTGATTTGTCAGTCGTGCTGATGGAGGTTGGCGCCAAAACACCATCGACGAGCTTACTACGGCATACAATCTCAGCGGAGTTATGTATGAGCTGACGATATGTTGTGTACCAGTCATGTATAGTAGTCAAACGCCTTCACACCTGCGCAGTAAACCCCTTATAGTTTGGCTGATCACTCGTCCGAGATTGGCAAATTCTTCTTCATCATGGTACGCCTTGGTCTTCGCTTCTTACTCTTTGGTAGGACGGTCGCACAGAAAGCAAAAGGACGCGCTCTATTGAAAGAGTCTCGCGAAGCACCACATAAAGGTCTTTACCACGGAGAAACTTATGTGTTTGGCTACAGAACAACATGGTCTGGAAAAAAGTAAGCTCAATAACTCAAAACTTAAATTCAAGGCATAATCCTGGTATGATTGAGTACTTTTATGAGAATGAGTCAAGCAACGGTTCTAAAAACAGTAACCTTGAATAAAATATGAATGTTAAACTTAGTTACTCACCTCAAGAAAAATTTAGCATACTATAGAATAAAAATAATTGAATATTGTTCCAGTTGACCTATTTATTTAACAATGTAATTTATTTTATGTACTTGATGTATTAGAATTGTAGATAAATATCAAGTGAAGTGGTGGCTTGTGAGAACATTTGTATAATTTGTAAAACTTTTTACTAAAATATGTTTTACCTATTATCACTTTACCAAGAACTCCACGAGTGTGGAAGCCAAATGTCTTTGAAAAGACATTCTACAGTCAAGTGTTAGAACAAGACTTGTCACTGAAGGTCAGTGTGCCTGCTCTGAGATGTATTGACAAAGCTGGTGGACTTGACAATTACATCATTAACACACCTGAAAGAACTCTGCATTCTAAATTAGCTATTGATCTCAAGAAACTTATGATGTGGGTTGTCAAATGTAAAGAAGAAGGTGTGGAAATGGAGCAGATCAGGAGTGAGGTTTTTCCCAAACCAAGAATAAGTCGTCATGTTCACATTCCAAAAGAATATACCAACAGATTTTACTTTGATTGGAAAGGACCTCGCAAACAGATGGTGTTTTGTTAGGGAAAGTATGTGTATTGACCCTAAGTGTGTAAAATCGTCATGTTCACATTCCAAAAGAATATACCAACAGATTTTACTTTGATTGGAAAGGACCTTGCAAACAGATGGTGTTTTGTCAGGGAAAGTATATGTACTAAATCTAAGTATGTAAAATATTGGTGGTTGTTTTAAACTTGGAATGGATTTAGAGAGTAGAAGACTGAACCTGAAAAGGTACCTCCTTTCCTTCATGGGTCTAGTAACAAAGTGAATCAGGTGTTAAGTTACTTAACAAGTTGTTGGACTAACCCGCAGCACATTTCATGTATTGATGCCTGATTACCTCTTGTTACAGTGTTGGGTGCATTTTGACACCTGGAAACTCTCATAAATGCTACTGAATGTTTCTTATGATGGGGTGGAAATCACACAAAAGTGTGAGGAAAGAGATCTGATCAGTAATTACAGTAAACATGACATTCCAACTTTGAAGAAATCAGGTTTATGAAGTTTTATATGTTAAATGGTGAAAATTTGAGGTGTTACAAACAGTTCCATAACAGTCTTAAAAGTTCAATGGAGTTTGCCATTTCCTGCTGCTTTTAAATTTCATTTGGAATGGGGTTAATTTTAATGTTCTTCAGGGATTTGAGGAGATAGATATGTTTTCCTATTCATGTTCCCTTGGCAAATCTAATGTTCCAAACCCTAACTCTAACCCTTTCCTCTTTGAGGGAATACACATGCATGTCCAATCTAATCCCTTTTCAAATACTGTTTGTTCAAAAATAGTTCAAGTTATTCCTAAACCTTTGAAATATATTTGACTGTATTATTTTTGGCCATACCATGTTAATCCATATATTTAAACATATTTGCCTGAGTAATTGATTATTTAGATATCCATGGCTCCTTCTTAAAATTTTTTGAAAGCAACTGAATGAACACAGGGTTCAAAAGTCACCATCAAAAAGCCAAAATAAAATGAATGAGTTTACCTTTGAGATTTCACTTTCCCCTGACTTCTTTGAAAGACATAAATATTCCATGTCTCAAAGCAAAATTGCCTTAATTATCCCAGAGTCTATTAAGAAATTTTTTCCTAGACCTTATCCTGACCTGTGGTACCATGATCAATCAAGAAATACTAGCTCTTGCCTGTGATTAGTGCAAGCAGCATCATTTGTTTTCAATACTTGTTGAATATATTAAATATTATGCAACTTAAATTAATTCAAATCTTTGTTGATAGAATATGTAGCAGTGTTAAAAAACTTGCTGCAAGATGTGTCTAGGACTATCTATCCTTAAAGAAGTTATCATTGTTTTTTTGTTTTGAACCAACAATAATCAGTGGTGCAGTTGTACATAAGGTGATCGCACATAATGATTCTAAATTGACCCATTATGAAAATGTTTTAGACAAGCAGTCAATGAGTGTAGCTTGTTTAGTTTCATTTCATGCCATTTGGTATTTCCCTAGGAGTTTGGTTAGCACTTGCACTGGTTTGCTTATAATTTCCCTCACTCTATTAGCCAATTCCTGGCATTCTTGGTGATTGAATGATTCAAACAAATTTAAACCTTCAATAAAATAATGGGCACAACTCTTTGAGCGTAGACACTTTTCCAACCTCTTAAGGAGGCCCATGAATCGAACATCCAAGGTATCTCTCCACTCTGAGGCATTAGGGTGGGACTCGCACTCATAGAGTAAGAGTGTTTTTAGATGATATGACTTCAATGGCTTCAGGTTAAGTTCTTCTCGAAGAGCCTTCACTATTCGGAGAACTTTCTTTCGGCAAGAGTTGGCTTCACCTTGCCCACCTTGAAGGAATAGCCTCTTTTCAGCCGCTGAGAAGGAATAACGCCACAGGAATCCTTTCTCTTTGTAAGCAATGTTGTGACCCTTTGGTTGCTTACCTACCAGATGACATCCCTCTCTGCAAATTTCTCTCACAAGATTGTTATTGGGCCAACCTTTTCATAAGTAAAAAAAAAGCCAATGTTAAAAACTTTACTGAAAAATAACATACAGCTAGAATAATACAATATTTCACAAAATATTTTGTGTTAAATATTGTGAACCAATAACTAAGAAGCACTGCCCTGTATATTTTAATAAAATAATCTCTGTAGATGTTAGTGTTTCTTTCACATTTAAGTGATTTCAGTGCATGTTTAAATAACTGTCTTTCCATGCCAATGAAAATTCATTAAGTGCTTCAACAAAACTGTTCAGATTATATTTTGTTAGTTTATTTCTATGATAGAAATAATTTTTTTTCAACCATTTTGAATGTTAGACAGCAATAAGTGCAAGTAGTTGACAAATAATTGGTATAGAAAAGTTTGCTGATTCCTGAACTTTATGGCCATTAGGTAAGTTAAGGTGTCAATAGTGATATTACCAGCTCTGGGCCTTGTTTTCCATTCTTCAGCTTCTTCTGGCCAGGTTTTCTCCTTGATGGCAAGTGTCAAATCAATAGAATATTCTATTCTATTTGTGCTAGTTATTTTCAAGGTCACTGCTGGGCCTTCAGACTTAACAGCAACATTCCTAAATTACAGAATTATTAGAGTATCAGGTTACTTTTTCAGCTAGCCATTATTTCCCTCTATGATCCTTTAAAACATTTTGTTATGATAGATTGTATAACAAGGTGGCTGCCTCTGCACAAAGTAGGCAAGATAAAGACAAACCCTTGTTCTGATTAACCTAAATCCCTAACCCAGTAATAATTCTCTATCCAAAAATTAATGGGACTGTTGTCATTGTTGCTTTTATGTTTCTAAGTCCTTTTCTTTCCAGCTGAGTATTCTTTGACACATTTCCTCTCATTTTAGAGGGCTACATCAGTGTTTTGATCAAGGATGGAGCCAAAGGAAAGAAAAACCACCTTAATAATTTTAGGGTATGGATGCCATTTTGGAATAAGTTGATCACTCCATGCACTTAGGGAGAAATTTACACCTATGTTCCCCCCTTTCCCCTCCTCCCCAGATACATGAACAGAACACAATCACAAGACTGCGCACAGAACCAAACCTAGTAAGGGAGCCAGGGGAAAATGAGTTAAATTCTCATTTAATACATAAATTGATGAGAATGGAGTGAGTAAGTGAATTTTATTTCCATACCAAAACCTCATGGTATGACAGTCATACCACGTGGTAAAAACTGTGTCAGCCCATCCTTATTGAAAAAGCCTTGTACAACATTATTTTTCTATCCAGCACTTACAATTGCTGAATAGTTCTTTGAGATTTTAATCATATGCCTGCTCTTTTCCTTTCTTCTTGCATTTTGCCACTCCCAGGGCCATACTTAAGACTGTCTTGCTGTTTCCAGTCCCACTCACACTATTGCATATGGCCCTTGCACTAGGTTACTCTTATTATGTTTTTCCTTTATAGGGAACATGCTTGCTTGTCCAGATAATATACTCATTAACCCTTTTTTACCTTAAATGCTTTTTTTCCCTGATGGCTTTATCCACAAGCCTTTTAAAAACTGCTTTAACCTGTGAGGCATTCAGCATTCCTCTATGGTTCACACAGCTGTCTCTCTTCCAAAGCCATTCTTCGCCCTCGTCAATCATTACAGTGGTAAATCCTGCATTAGAAGGAAACAAAAGTTTCTGCCCGTGACTCAGCCTGAATGGCAAGGGTATTTCTGGTTATTGCTTTTCCTTCACCTGACCTATTTCCAGTGGTCACTTCTTGCTTGCCAATATATTTCTTTCCAAGCAGTGAGTAGCAACAACCCAAAATTAGTCTTTCTAACAAGTAACTTGACTAAAATACCCCCTGACTTGTTGGTATTGCAAGGTGAGGAAAACTTGATCATACTCTTGTATTTTATAACACTTGATCAATGTTGTGGTCTATTGAACAATAGGACTTACAACAGAAGAAATACTGGTAAGGAATAAAACAAGTTGACCCTTATTAATCTGGTGGAGTTTAGGTGACATTTTTAAAAATAGGACTTTTAGATAAGAACCTAATGGCTGAGAGGACATAGTGGTTGTAGACTTAATTTTTATTTTGATATGTATTACCTTGATGGTACAGAAATGGTTTTCTCGACTTGAAATGTATATCATTAGCTGATCATCAGACATAAAAAATACCTTGTCTTGGGAAAATCCTAAGGTTTCATTAAGGGCAAGGCGTCAGCCAAATTGACAAACTGTAAGCCTTGATGTAACCCTTGAAATCCACCTCCTTTCAAGAATTTTTAGTAAGTGATAATGTCGATGTCCTAACACAGAGTCATCATGGTTCTTCCCCCCATTTTAAATCACGTATCTCTACATTGTACATTTTTCCGTACAAAACGCACTTATGGCGGAATTGATCAAGCTCTGCAATTTTGAATGGCTAAGATGCGGTTTCAGCCTCCAACTATTCAGTTAGGTAAACTAAAAGTTCGGCTTCTGAATCATTTAGAGCGGCTAATTGAACTTGGAACGGCAAGAGTGTTCTTACCGTTGTGCTTGGTCGGGGAATTTGGACACATTTCAAACGGTTTTGAAGCGGCTCTAGCATGAATCAGACACCGAACCCTACATTTCCCAAACCAAATCCTGAATCATAACATTTACGAAGATTTCCTTGAACTGTATTACTGGCACACTTCTTGGAGTTTGAATCGGTCCAAATTCAAATAAGGTCTTCTTCATGAAAAGTCAGTGTCTAAACAGGCCTAATCTTACCGATTGGTGGCTCGCTGAAGCCATCGTCTTCTTCAAATGGTGCGTCATCCAGTTCTAAATTATCCATGATTAACATCAGGTCGAATTCATCGGGCTCTTTTACTTTGGCCCTTTCATAATAGCTTCCTGTAGGTAAGATTTGAAGAGCACTGAATCGGTCATCTTTCGTTTTCACATATTCTAAGATTTCTTTCACGATAGGCTCCCAACAGTTTAGGGCTTCTATTTTCCTTTGTTGACGAAGCTGAACAATATTAGCAGTAAAACGATTTAAGATAGTGTTTAAATTCTGTTCACTCATTTTTCCAATAAGGATCACCGTTGCAACGCTTTCTCTTATGTATATTTTCTGAAATTTCTTGCAAGTGAAAAAGTGCTTATGGAAGCAATCTTTGATATCACAAACAAGCATCCGGTGGTTTTCTGGGAAATTTCCCTACAGGTGTTTTCTAAATATCACTTCCGGTTGCAACTACCTATGTTCACGTACTTAAGAGGCTCAGTCTACAAAGCTAAAATCTGTTCTCTCAACTATTATATCGCTGTATTCATGCATTTGCATAGTTACACGCACGAAAATCTCTTTACAATTTCACAGTTCTGTGAAATAACCCATTTCTGGGAACGTTCAATTGTTAGCCTTACTACTTTCGGCCCAAATAAAATATTCAGTTCTTTATCTATTATTATTATTATTATTATTATTATTATTGTTATATTATCATCATCATCATTATCATCAACATTGTTATTAAAATATGAAACGGAAAGATAACATTATACAGACTTAGGGCTCGGAACGTCGGCCTTAGAAACTCTCAAAGGCGGCCAATTCATACCATCAACACATTTAATAAAACTGAATTATCTCGCCCTCACCATTGCTTCACCACAATTTCTTTAGAAGCGTACCCACTGAAAAAACTACATCAAAATATCCTCACGCTCAAGTTAATCTACAGGCGGGTCTATTTTAGATGAAAATTACCGCTAAAGAAATAATTTTTTTGATAAGGCTTTTTTGGTGGGATTTTGTCTAGACTAAACACGTGACGCGCGTTCCATTCCTTGTGGGTTCCAGATTTTGACGAACGCGTTTTTGACGGGTTCCATTCGCAAATCAAACGCACTAGAGAGACACGTCGCAATTTTTACAATGTCGGAAAATCCTCGCAGTTCAATTTGCACAACAACTCACTTTGATTCTTAAATGTGTTTGACTTGGTTTCTCTACATGCTGAAACACTGACTGCGTTGTTAGTTGAGTCAGTTTGTCTTTTTTTGTCTTTTGTAGGGAGTTTTCGTCTTTTTTCCCATTAGTCGTTGCTGGAAGACTGGTTCATTTTTCTTTTCCGCTGAATTGGGTGAGCCAATTTCCGTGGGTCGCAATTTTAGATGAAATGGTATCTTTTTGTATAGAGGGAGGCCTAGAATGCCCATCTCCGGCTAACTGGCCAGGCTCTAGAATAAGTAACCACGCGTACGTTTAGAATATAATGATGCACCTCAAGTTAAGGGCGGGTCGCTGGCGTGCGATGTCTTCTATTTCTGTCGCTGTTTGATCCTTCCTGCTCCCACACAGAGAGAAACTAAAGAGAAAAAATAACCCAACGGCCTCACGGTGTTCATGGCGTAAGTACCGAAGTTGACTGGCACCTATCTGAACCAGTCAAACATGTAACTAAAGGAGAGGAAATTTAAGAAACACAATAGCAAAGAATCCACAATAAATTCATACCCGAACCATCAATCCTAGAGATCAACGTGTAAAAACGCATTACAAAGGGTAACATTGAGAAAGTTGTAGGACCGCGTTGTGCCATTCTGTTGTTTTGCCGCTGTCCATTTTGGTCGTGGTTTCGTCATAGTTATCACAGTTGAGAAGCTGGCTGCAATAGGCCACCACAAACAAGTTGGAGAAAAGGTTAGCAGCAAGGAACTGGCTTAATGTTACTTTTATGATATGCCATTCATTCTTATCTATGGTTAGCTTTATATTTGTGCAAAAAGAGACGCTGTAAGAAGAATTCTTGATTAAATGCCGGTACTACTGTATAATAAAAAGACTTAATTTGTAATACATGACGTACTGACTAAGTTAACTGCATTTAAAGGCTAAGAATAGTGTGCCGATACGTGACAGTTTAACGAATACAACGTCACCCTTTGACACTCGCTTAAGTGAACATGATCGTCGCAACTAAACAAATTGAGTTTGACCTACGTATTTCGATGCAAGAAAAATTGAAAAAAAGCTTCTCACTCAAAATAAGAACCTAGATTTTATGAAAGGTAGTGACACATCTCAAAGACTTATCTCTGTACATTCTTTATAAATTGCAATGCAATTTGGTGCTATGGGTGGATATCAGAATCAACAGGCTACTTGTTTGTGTCATGTGTTCTGGTGGTTTCCGCTTTCAACGATTCTTTATCTCATCCGCAGGCGAATCTCTCCAGTGCCTTTGATCCGTGCGTGGAATCGCGTTTTGAGTGAATATGGCAAACAAATACAGAATCTAAACAGGTGTTAGTAGCTAATGGGATATGTGATGCTTTTTAGGCGATATGTGATGCTTTTTAGGGGATATGAAATTTGAGAAAGACTTCCCGAAGAACTTTCAATTGCCAATCGTGAGTTTTTCTGGGAGACAAAAAACCATCACGTATTCATAAAACTTGATAGAGAATCATTTATTACTTCCGACAGCCAAGTGTCAGTCACTTAGTAGGGTAACCAATCGCGTAAAAGACACCTGTTCGTCAGCTCTTGGGGTTGTTGCATATTCAATATGACCATACAACATTTTGAGAAATAATCTAGCAAAAAACGAATTAAAAACATAGTAACCGAGAAGAAAAGAAGATGAAGAAAATATATTCAACAACGAAAAAAGATTCTGGTTTTGAGACGTAATGAAGCAAAATGAACAAGAGAAAATTCTAGTCTTTTTCGCCACTGAGGTTTTCTGACGCAAATACTCCCAGCTATGACGCGAGTAGAACAAATGAATTAATTTAAACTTTCCAAATAGAAATTGGCTTTCGTCAATGAACCTAAAAATATCCCCGCTTCCCTTTGGGAACTTGGCAATTAAATATCTAACTATTAAACGCGACATTGCGTGGGAAAATCCAAGTGGTTAAATTATGGATGTACTGCTGACTACAGTGCCACTACTTGATGTCGATGCTAGTTGTGTGAATATAAGATCACATCCAACAGCCTCAGTCAGTAAGATATCTTGTGTTGACAAACAAACACGATGGATAGTTTCAACCACGAGAGGTGTACCGGCAGTTTGTTGCCCGACAAGAGAGTTCAATGGGCGGTCAACTTAGAAGAAGTTCGCTATTTTGTGCCTCCAAATCGCCTGCGAAAGAGTTTTAAGAAGAAAATGACTAAGATTAGAAGAAAGGCAAGCGAAATTACAGACAAACCGCTGCGTATCATAACAAGTATGGGAGAACTGAGTGCGAACGCGGTTCAAAATGGACTTGAATTCATTCTCAGACATGGACAAAGTGGTTCATTTGACGCAGAACGTGTCACTTACGAAGATCTGATCAAAGAGTGGGACAAACTGTTCGAAACATCAGGAGTTAGTAACGACGACGAATCAACGGATGATGAGAACGACGAAAAAATTAAGTAGGACACAGACTTATGAACAGACCATCTAGACTCTGGTTTATTCAGTTTTTTGAAACTTTTCTCCCCTGTCAAACCTTTTTACGGTGAAGGAGGCTCCCAAGACGCATTCGATAGCGGAACAAGTGAGTTAACGATCAGTCAAAAAGAAGCTTGATGAACAGAGTGTCTGGGAAAGAATACAATAAAATCAACGAGTAAATCGTAAATCTCATACGAAAAATTACGTGAGGTCAACAAGGGATCATGCAAATTTTCGCAGCAAGGAGCTTTTCTAATATATAACAAAAAGATTTTTTCGGTGAACATTTTTATAACAGAAAATTACCATGTCAGCCATTAACCTACTCGAAAAACGCAAGCATTTGTATTTAAATACCCGTCCAGTAACAAAAACAATATTTTAATATATTCAGGAAAAATGTTTCATACGGTAAACGAGTTCGTATTTTTTTACAACGTTATTTTTGATCAATGTAAATGATTATGTTAATTCTTAATAGGGGAAGCAAGTAATACAGCAAGCGTAATAATCGAAAATGAGATCGCTTATGTGTTCTTTCAGTGTTAAATAAATAGTATGTTTCAAGCATAATGTGTTATATTAATTTAACTTACAACAAGATCGATTTCACTCTCAGATCAGAAAATATAAAACTCTCTCCTAAAATATCATGTCGCGTTGTTATGTTATTTTCCCTGAGGACACTGGATTTAGGGGTGCCACCAGAATTAAATTTAGCTTAGCATCCGGGAAGTAACCACAAGAAGATTTTCATCGAGCAGCTGAAAGGAACCGCAGTCCATAAGAGACATCTAATGTCCTCTCCCTTATCGACTGTCCTACAGTTACACGATATATTACTGACCTGTATGTCTTGCATGGATAAGACTGCTTTTGGACGGTTCAACGTTTTGTATCTCAAACGGAATAATTACATTGGAAAAAATAGCAGAAAAAAATAGTTTTAACCCTCATTGAGTATGTATAAAGGGTAATTCGTCAAATAATTGAAAAAGGTTTTAACTCTCTCATTCGTCGCCTATTTAGCTGATAGATCTACTAAATAATTTAATTTTAATACTCGTCTTGTGTTGAAAAAAATTGAAAAAACGCTCAACGGACTCTGTTGAATCAGTTGAAAGTCAAAGTTTTTAAAAAGTACTCGCCGAAGAGGAGTAATTAGAGGCGACTGATAAACTGTCATCTTTTTCAAGAAAAATGAAATTCTAACTAAAATGCACATTACGAACATTGGAGGAAAACAAGAACATAGGCTGAGTGTTTTTCCTACCATTTTAACAAAGAAACAGTACCTTCGATCAAAAAAAGGTTCCCTCTCCTCAAAGACTCATCCATCGATCTATCGTCGAGAATCAAATAAATTCGTTTTCGTTTTTTGGTAACAGTGTCAAGAACAGTAACATTTTATTGCAGCATAAAGATCTTAAAGGGCGAGAGACAGTAAATGGAGGCTAATTACTGGATCTATTGGAGTTGAATAACAAATTAAAAGCTTTTTGCACGCGCCTGTATTTCAAAGTTAATCAATACTGACTGAGCTCTTGTAGGTCCAACAGATCAATCTAAATAATCGAAGAAGTAAAAAAATATATATAACTGATAACAAAAAGAGAAAGGGAAATAGATGCGGTAAAACGACTATTATTAGCTGGTGTCACAGACTAATCCATAGCATGCTTTCTCTCTATCAGAGTGAATTTGTGTGACTAAAACTGCCTCAGAATCGAGATGACTTGGGGAAAGGAAAACAAATTACAAAAGAAAAAAAGTCGAACCTCACAATAGATGACAACAAGAAGAACATAGGCTTCATCAGATAATCTGGACTGATTATTAATTCTGCAGCTGCTTTATTGAAGAAGGTTTTCACAAAAGACAGCTCAATTTCACTAAAGTGAAATAGTTTAGACGGTCCATCAATGGAATATCCCAAAAATTTGTGACAACTCTTAGAGACAAATAAGGATCAAACACATTGCAACTGGCGGACTTTGTGGTCTTCGCGTAGGTGCCAACAGAACAGATAGCGTGGCTTTCAAATTCTGAAAACTTCCTCTTTTTTTTCTTTCCCCGATGAGGAAACTTGTCTTAATTGAAAGAACTACCCCCGCAAATCATTCAGATCTTTCCGTGGCCGAGAGTAACCGAGTGTTCACGAACTTTGTTTGTGGTAATGTCGAGGAAGCTCGTAAAACACGAGGGCCAACCATTATGCTTGTCGTATTTTGGCGGGGTGATTAACGATAACTGCTTGACCTTTATATCTCCTGCTTAAATTTGAGTGGGACGAATTTACTCCGTTGCTTCCGCTATTTCATAACTCATAGAAGCAGATCAAAATCAGGGAAAAATTGCTGGCGTCATGACAGGAGAAACGCGAGTTGATAATCCCCCAGGTGCTCTTTTGTTGTTACAACTGTACACGTAGACGCAAGAAGAATACATCATACAAAGAAAATTACTGTAACCGAAAGGATGAAATGGTAAAACCAAAAACAATTTTCTCATTACGAAAGGGAAGTTTTCCTTTTTTCTATAAATATTTCCTGGCAATGTTTGAAAAAATATTTAGCCTCGGCTTGCAAGGGACAAACTAAATCTTGGGTTTTCTCTCTGTTTCGCAGTACCTTATTGTTTCATCTGTTGACTCGTCTCTTAGCGCAGTTTAAATTTAAAATGAAATTATCATATAGTGCTTCTGACAATACGTTTTAAGCCTTTTTTTCTTTTTAAATATAACACTGTTCTGTTATGATAGTTTTTCTCTACGAGAGAGAGGACAGATAAGAAATCTAACATACTTGATATTTAATTGGAGATTCACAAAGTTTAGCCGAGTTACTTTTATCACTGTCGAGGTGGAAATGATCATTTGCGACGCTCGGGCGAAGTCATGAAAACTGCGCGGGCGGAAATGACATTTTAAGCTTCCCAGGGTGCATAGCAAGATAAGTAACGAGTATTGAGTGTTCAGCTGCAAAAGCTGTCAATGATGGCGAGGGGGCCGAAGTCTTTCCTTAGAATCCTTGAAATAATAATAAGCTGCTTTTTACCGCATTCAAACAACTCTCCTTCCCTTTATCAAGATTATTAATATGCTACAATCATGACACAAATAAATTATTAATTAGCGTGTGCCCTTTTCATAAACACGTAACACGACCTGCGGTTGTTACAAAAAGGATTCAACCTGCACATACATCTCTTAGTTTCAACATCCATGCACCAATAACTCTAATTCTGTCGTTGACAGTTTCGCCTGCTGGCCGGGCAGTTTCCTCGTTTTCAAGATTAACTCACACGGCAGTAATCAAACTGGTTGTCAACATTTAATTTCATACAGAATAATGTCTTTATACAGATCAATGAGTTGTGAATTTACAAGCTTTTGCCATGGTGCTGAGTATAGGCAAGAGAGGCTGAGACAAAGAAGAAGCAAATCAGCACGGAAGAAAAGCGTTCAATGGTCCAATGATCTTGAGGAGGTCCGCTATTTTGTGCCGCACAGAAGCAGAAGCGAGAGTATCAGGAGGAAATTCAATAAAGTGAAAAAAAGAGCGGAAAATCTCCGAGCTTTCACACTTATCAGCGACTCCAGAGTAAAACAACTACGACGAAATACGGACTGCTTCGCACATAATTCTGGTTTTCAAAGCTTCGAGGAGTATAATAAACAATGGGATTTATTGTTTGACATGTACACAAGTAGAGAAACTCACTAGTAACAAAGAGCACAGACTATATAAGATCTCAATGCTGTGATTCAGGCTGGCACTGGTATTGGAAGTTTTGGCAGGCCAATTTCTACGGTATCAACTGACAGCTATTGGTCGTCGTTTTGTACACATTTAGAAAACTTGCTGTGTCAGATGTTGACTTTGTCCAAGCTCATTTATTTCGACAAAAGTTGTCATAAATTACTCGATCTTCGCGGAAAATTCGTACAATATTACGAACTTTAGCGTAAGAAAAGCGACCATTAATCCTCTTCTATTAACAAAATGAGACAAACTTTGAACTACGTCAGCTCTTCCATCTTTGCCTTCAAATCCAAGTCATCAGCACTAATCAGTTGGTGAACTTTGCCGTAAAGAAAAATCAGCTCTCCTTCCATGTATCTCACAATGGATTGAATTCAGTGTATTATTTCTAATACCAAGAGGGGAGCGAGGTTCAAACAATTATTCAGTATGAAGTGCGCAATTGCGGCCACGTTGACGTAAATCACTTTTATCCCATCGCGACATTTTTAAAATAAATCATCAAATATTAATACGTGAAATGTGCGGTTCATGCAAAAACATATAAATAGAAATTGGGTTTTTGAAGGGTCTGATAATTTTGTGATTAAAGTTCAAAAGATAAAATCTCACTCGATTTTTATTTCTTCTTCAATCAAACTGACACTCCGCCCGCAAAAAGAATCAGGGCAAATACAAATTATCCAGGATGTCTCCAATATTCCTTCACGAACAAGCTCGAAACTCGACTTTCTTGTCTCTATCGCTAATAGTAAACGACTCAGATTCATATTAAAATCTACATCAAAGTGAAATTTCACCGGTATTTTTTCTCTTAAATGACAAATGCATACATGTAATCAGTAGCTTACTTTCATTCAGTCAATTGCATGGAATATTAAATTCGATCTGCCGGGATTTTTTCCTTTATAACTCATCCGAAATATGTGCAATGCAGTCACTGAAAGGAAAAAAAATTAACTGTTCCAGAGCGAGACAAATTAAAGGGTGTAATTTCGTTGTATAGTCTTTCGTTTATCTTTCAGATATACTGGTAAAATTGCACAACAACTCCGCAGTTGTACCGCAATTACAGCAGCTGTACATAATTTCGTCACGTACAAGCTTCGCATTCTATTAACATATCTTATATCTGAGGAGTCGATTTGCTTCAGCGTTATTTTTTATTACAACATTTGATATGAATTTCGGCGCCTTGCAACGGAACTAATCTGATAGGAGATAAGCTCTTACTACACACGGCTAATAATAGTAGCAAAACCACCTCAAGAAGGACGCAAGAGCGCCAATGGTTGCCGGATAAACTGATGCTCAGATAATGTTTGCTGTAACAACTCCAATCACTGAGTCATACATGACAACTATATCATTTTCTAGTCGACTAGAGTTTCATAATAATTCACTAACAGTGAAAATGCTTAAACAAAGATGATTAGTAAATTTAAACCACGAGCTTCCCTAACGGTATCAGCCCAAACTTGTTGCGAACAGCATTCGGTTTGAGCATGGGCTTTCCTTTTTTTATGGTTTTGATCCAATTTCAACCCTATATCTTGTTCAAATTTGTCGGCCTAAACTCAACTTTCTCTATCTCACTTGGCAGACGTCTAGTTGGAGAAATCGCGTGAAAACAGCCCATCACTTGGTCTTCTCAAGTTAAACCTTTCCCTGAAATTCTCGGATTCCACTCTGTTGGCTGAGGGCTTACACAAACATCATTAATCAATTTTCACATTCAGTTCCGTTCAAAATTTCAACCTGTTTTGGCGAATACTTTTCAGTCGTCTTCGAAGGCATGCACTCCTCTCAGCCTCTAGGCTATCAAGTGAACATATGATAATGATATGCAGGATATGCACTGTGTCTGCGA